AAATGGCATATATATAAATATATGTAAGTTAAGTCAAAATGCACGTGCGAGAGGAGCTTAACGATGATACGGTAAATTTGGCTGTTGAGTTTAGAAACTATTAAATCCTTAACGGACCATTTGGACGTTTTAAAGCTTCGTTTTATACGGGCAGGAGCCGATTACCAGGAGTCGGCTCTCTGGAATAAGCCAGATGACTAACTATGAAATATCCTTTGAAAGATAGCTGAATGACTTATAATGGCAGTTACCCTGAGGGTTCATATTTTAAGGGTAAACTCTGAGATATCTAATAAAACACATCCATACTCCACCACCACCAACCACTGTCAGGCCAAACTCATTCCAAATGTGCTGGCAATCCGCCAAAAAATACTTACATATCCTTGTTGACTGGATGGCGAAGCATTCCAAGGTTTTTTTGGACCAGCATTTTGTTCATTGCTATTTCATTTTCAAAATAATCATCACTTACTGTCAGCTGGTGATATTGAAAAAAAAGTAAATAATAGACAAATAAGTAGTGTTGATATGTTGAGACAAGTGATATATCAACAACAAAAACTAATCAAAGAGTGAATCTTGAAAGCACAATTAGTCCAAATAGAAGATAACAGAGTTAAAAATACCCAACTGGTAGCATGACTGAGGATTTGAACTTGAGGATTGCCATATTCAAACATCTTTTGAATGCATTGGGGGAGCAGTGTTGGCGTACCAGGAAAAATTGTTTATCAAGACGAACGTTAACGATCTAGGCAACAAATCACTTCATTCGCATTCCCCCCCTCCCTCCATTATTATTATTGTTATTATCCTCATTAAACACAGCTTTTTCTGGGTGGCTTGCTGCAGTCTTCCTTAAACATCATGTCACCGCCCGTGACCTTAGGTGTCCAAGAATTTTCGAAGGATTCTGGCCATACCCAGTAAGCACGCTCTCTGCAATGAATCCAAACGACATGAAACACCAATCTCTGCTAACCACTTTTCTATATCTTTCGAGGCAGTTCCTGATGCCCCAATTATGTTTGGTACCACAGTTACTCTGCGCAATTTCCAGATCCGTTTCAACTCCCGCTTAAAGTCTTGGTAGTTCTCAATTTTCTATTTCTCTTTGTCTTTCAATCGGATGTCAAATGGACAAGCAACATCAATAACCAGGCATTTGCGTTTTATCTTATCCAATACCACAATGTCAGGCTTGTTGTGTTCAATCTCGTTGTCAGTCTGTATTTTGAAGTCCCAAGGCAGCTTGTTGTTAGTGGATTCATACATTGTTATTATTAGTAGTAGTATTATTATTACTAACCATTGAATAATGTTCGTCAAGTTTTTTGTCGTCTTTTATGTATGGTGGGTATCCCACATCCTCCTTTATAGCATTGGCCTACAATGATTGCATTTAAGTGAATTATTTTTAATGTGTCTTAGTGCCGAAAGAGACAACCTTTGATTAAATACCACTTATTAACCGAGGGTGAGGTCATTACAGGGAAATTTCAGAGCGAGGCCTTGATGTATTCTTGATGTATTGACCGAGTGATAGCGAGGTCAATACATCCAGGCCGAGGTCTGAGATTTCCCTTTATGACCGAACCGACAAGGTTAATAAGTTATTTATTTTATAGCCTTTTCATTATGGACCTGAGCCTGCGATCAATTTAAACTAACAGCTGGTCACCTTCACATGTCACCTCAATGAGTTGTACACTTGAGCCCGCGGTACAGTCAGGTGACACTTGTCAGAGGATATCCTCTTTGACAGCTGTCAATTGACCATAACATGGATGTCCACTATTAAGTTAAACACAGATTGTATATGCCTTGGACACCTAGCTAGTAATGCCCGGTCATTACAAGAAAACAGCCAATCAGAGCGCGTGTACTATTGTAGCCATATAATAACAAGCGTTAACCAGTTATAGAGTACTCAAAGTTACAGTAGTGACTGTTATGGGGACAAACAATCGCCTTCAATTTTTTTTTTATTTTCAACGTCCGTAAGAAGAAAAGGTTTTGGAAGTTAAGAGCTGGTATAAACACAGGGGCACCCAACGACTGTTTTTTGTAAAATATCTGTTCGGAGAAGAAAATATGGCCTAAAATTTTCTATTGCTTGAGAACGGCTTAAAATTTCTAGATGACTGCTGTTCCATTCATGTACAATTAATTTTCGAAGATTGCCTGTCTTGTCTAATTAGTTCCCTCCGATTTTCTGAACTTTAATTTTTCACATTCACTCCCCAAGTTAGGCAATTTTTGGTAGAAAAAGGAAACCTGAAATTTTCGGATTCAAAACGAAAATTTGCATCTAAAATTTTCGGGAAAACAATGCTGGAGCCCTTGTAATTTCAAAAAGACTCAAGATCCCCTGGGATGACCGAGCAGATACAAATTTTATAGCGCCACTTAGAATGCAATTCTAGAGATCTAAAAGTGCTCTGGACAGCCTAAAAATGGTTTTCAACGTATTTAGGAGGAGACGGTCGTTGGGTGCCCCTGTAAACATGCCCGTTTCCAAGGCGCATGATTTGATGGAAATTAATTCGTCGCGAAGCGCCGGGCGTAATGAGTTCATAATCTCGTCGCGCGCGTAGTGCGTGAACCGCGCGTGGATCCTAGCGAGCTGCAAACTCGCAGCCCACATCTATCCAACTATCCTTGTATATATCCCATGGTGTCCGCGATGACGTCATACAAAAGTTTGACGTCACGGCACATTCTTTGTTTCTAGGCAACATTCGACTAAACGGCGATTTCTCATCATATCAATGACCAAAGTGCTTGGTTTTTTTGCGGTAATTTGGGAGTCGGTAAGTGCTTTCTGCAATTGAAAATTGAGGTAACAAAACACGTTTTGTTCGCAGACGATACCGTATTGGCTCATAGTTGGGCATTTGTTCTTTAAATGCGATCAAACAGGTTTACGTTAGGTTTCCACCGGTCAAAACAGCAGTCATTCTTCTGAAAATTATCTCTGAATTCGCCTTAAATAGGGCTCGATCAACTTTGTGCAGGGCCCGCTGGAGGAAGTCTAGGGAAAAGGCTTTTCATAAAATATTATCAACTTTTTCACGATGAGTTTCACGTGGCCTGATAAATGGCCTGGCGGGCAGAAGGTCCCGAGTTCGATTCCGGGCAAAACCCGTTTTTCTCCTCTGCTCATTTTTTTCCTTAACGTTTAGTCTTCTTCGTAGTTATTGTAGGTTTGTTTTGTTTCTTTATATAGCTCAAATTTTTTAAATTTATAAATTTTCTCCCTTGCTTTATTTCCCTTTCAACTTCTTGCCAATTTCCCGAAGTCCTTCGCAAGGTCCTGCGATTCACGAATTTCTAGTAAAGGTCAGGGCCGGGTTGTTCGAAGCTGGGTTAAGATAACCCAGGGTTAGTGCGAACTTTGAACTCAGATATCACAGGTTAAAATTCAAATTCAGTTTAATTCTTTTTGCCTACAATTTGATGATTGGATACTTTAAAAAGAATAGAGAAAATTATTCGAGAGAGTGCTTTTGATAACAAGAAAAAAAAAGCGGGTTAAAATTTAACCCCGGGTTAGTGCTAACCGGCGTTCGAACAACTGAGCCCAGGAGTATTTATGCATAGTCAAATAATACTGTGCAAGAGAGGTGTACTGTACCAATATCGACTAACTGCGAAAACCCGTAAAAATAAGAGAACTAGCTTTTTGAACACTTTTTACCTCTTCGTCTTGATAATCTATGAATGACATTCTTACCTTTTGCCTGGCGGCCTCTTTTGTTGCAGAATCCATCCAATCCGCCGAATTGAGGTTATTAATAAAGGCCTCGCGAATAAGAGTCGTCATTTCCTGTACCTGAAACAAATTAAATAGAAAGACTTTTATTGAACTTCAGTCGCTCAATCAATCGAATGTACTTACTTCCGGGCAAAAATATATTTATAACGATTGATGTGGAAGATGCGAGCTTCGAGACGTGCTTGTGACTGTGCGTCGCCGTTAGGTTTCTTAATTTAGTTTACAACTTTACCGTTGTTTTAGTTGCTTCGTCATAATGTGCGTCAACATACATCCTCCCCAAAGTCATGTCCATCGGTGTCAGCATTTCATCGATACAGAAAGACCATCTTTGATGTAGGTTTTTTCGCGTCCCGCGCAGAGCCTTGTAAAACTCAAGCTTAGCTTCAACAAAAGCATCAGGCATTGACCAAACGTACTGGGAAATAACTCGCCACATTATGTAGTCCTTGATAATATCGTGGGATCTATTAAGCAAATATAGGCAAGAAAAATAGGCTGCAGCTACTTTAGATACGTCGGCTAGCTTCCATAATAATTCATTCAAAATGTTTCTTCTTTTCTGATTGGCTTAAATCATCCGGTTTACGGAATTCTCCATGACAAGCTAGCGTTGATCGGACCAAATTTGGAAGAGACGTTTGCGAGTATACACTAAAATGACATCAATATTACATGGTATTCTCAGGAAAAGGGACGGCAACCACACACGTTTTGCGATACACGTATTTCTAGTTATTTGACTATTATTGACAGCACGATAGGTTGCTTAAAATTGATCATAATTTACCGACGCTGTCTTCTTGGAGTTATTGATTAAATAAAATCGCCAAGATAAATTGGAACACCGCTGAAGAAGGAGGACATGAAGAATATTCGAAAAAAAATAAGATCGTTTTGTACAAGTGAAAGTAAACCACTAAAGGGAATATTTGACTCCAGATATAAGTCAGCGCTGCTCATAAACACTTTTAAAATTCATTTTTACTCATTTAATAATTAAAATAGTTTAGTAATAAATGACGTTATTTACACTTACGTAGTCTGATACTTTGAAGCAATGTGCCGGAAGAAGTAGTCAAGCCCATAGTAAACTTTTTCGCTAGAGTCGAAAGTAATTCCTTGGTGCAAAAATGCAGTGTTCAAAAAATCCAGAATAAAAGTTAGCTGTGAAAGAAAAAATAGTATTGATTGATAATTTAGTCGTTCGATTGCCCACAACCCTCGTTTACTACTAACTGACGTGAAGAGCCAACAGTATGCAGGAGTTTTGGTGTATTTACCATTTACATGGGCGAAGCTGTCGGTTCACGCCTTTGGTCAAATGGAAAGCACCATCAATCAGGACTGGTAATTACGTCCTGGAGTCGCGTTTTCCGTGTCTACACAGAGATAAGATCCTTTTACCGAAAAATGGCTGAGAAGGCCTGAAACTGGTATCGAAGATGCGATTTTACAAAAGTAACACGAATTTCCTTTTGGAACTTTCCAGCCGGAAAAAGAGGACTACTTTTACAGATGTTCCGTTGCTCTCGGAAATTTTCGGCTGGAACCGGATTTAACGGAAATTTTTTTTGTAAATGATAAACCGCTCGGTTTTAGTCTAAAGCTTTGGCAGTACTCCTTCGATAAATCAACCCTGAATGAGAGCTAGCTGATGCTTGATCTACCGAGTTCAAATTAAGTGCCTAGTATATATGTTACGCCATACTGACGAGCCCCAAAGAGGGCGAAACAGCTGTCTATGGCTACAATCCCGCTCTGTTTTGAGTTCTTTCGGTGTCGTGTTGATGTCTTGCAGAGTTAATTTTCACGTAGTACGATCAGCATTGCAGTATTCTGCTTGCAGAATTTAATATGTCTATATATGTTATGGTTCAGTTTTATCCTTGGTTTAAATTAAATTTCCGTTTGTTTGAAACTCATTATCATACATTACCTTAACCAAAAAACAAAGGGAAATAAAATTTGAAACAAGGATAAAATTGAACCACAGCATATACGACCATAATGCGCAAGTCTAAGTTAGAAGTGGCATGTGAACGACCTTTTAAGCGACCGAAAGCAGTATCAATTCTATTGCCTGCACAAAAAAAGCCGAAATAGAAACTGTATACAAATTTGGTTTTCGTATATTTCATCTTCCAAAATAATCACAGTGCTAAAAGGTAACCTGGATTTCCAGGGTGTCCAGTGTGGCTAGAATTACGTACGTTAAAAGTTGAGTCCGAGCAAAAGTCAGCGATAGTATTGTCCAATGAGAAATCCAGGGATCTTCTTGAACGATAATACTGCTCGAGGGGCTGGACAAAGTCATCTGAGAATGCTTCGTCCTGATACCACCACTGCAGAAAGGGAAAAAAAAGCAATATCATGAAATAGAAGATAGGACACAGAGCGTAAAATCTCTAATAGCTTTGTACAGTCTTTTATCATGAAGAAACCATGTTATTGTTCACTTTTCAAACAAGAAGGAAACTGGAGACAAAATATGTATCGCAATTGTTTCTGCCTTTCTGAGATGGTCACCGGGTACTCGCCGGTCACCGCATGGTACAGTCGCAGAAGTCTTTGCGAAAGTTAACTCCTCTTGTTTCCTCCAACCTCGTTTCTAGTATTCTCTCCGGGACGGATCCGAATACTGACTCAAGGGCACCTAACGACGATTTCCTCCTAAACGCATTGAAAACACTTTTTAGGCCATCGAGAGTACTTTTAGATCTTTAGAAATACATTCTTTCCCTGCTAGCAGAGGTCTCTCACGAATACATTCTAATCGACGCTATTAAATTTTTATCTGTTCGATCATCCTAGGGCAACTTGAGTGTCTTTAGGAAAGTGAGAATTTTTCTTTCTGATTCCTCTTTCCATCGCATTTTCGAATCCGAAATTTTACGTTTCCTTTTTCTGCGAAAAATAGCTTAATCTGGGGAGTGAAATGCGAAGAATTAAATTCAGAAAATCGTAGAGAATTTATTAGATAAGCTTCGAATGGAACCACCATCTGGAAATTCTTAGCCTTCCTCAAGGTATAGAAAATTCTAGGCAATTTCTGCTTCTCCGAACAGATATTTTACAGAAAACTGTGTTGGGCGCCCCTGAAAACTTCTGGCAGAAGGAACGAGTTTGAAGCTCCTATGTTTGACGCGTTCACCTGGTTTCTGATGTAATGGAATAGATTTATTTCAGTTGTGCTTTTTTATGCATCCTGTTGAGTCCTGACAGACACTAACGGAAGACCCCTTTGCATGGGAGTTGAAACCACTTGTGGAATTGCACACATTTGAGATCTTTTAGGTATCTTAACTTATGAATTACGACAGTTAGTTATTTGCGGGAGCAAGAATTTTTTTATTAGTGTAGTCTGTCCTTTTTCAGTTTAACATTTTTGGAGGTGGTTTTTATATTCTACCTGAAACAGTAACTTACACTGGCAATGTCTCTTTCGAAGTTATATATACGCATCATCTTCTTCTCTGAATCTGATCCTCCTCCAAGTAGACGTGCAATCGTTCTCATGTACGTCTTATATGCGTGTTGAATCTTTAAGTGACGCAAATGGAAGATAAAAGGAGAATCAGTTATAATGGAAATTGTTATCATTAGTGAGGTGACTTGGAAAATGACCTGGAGAGGTTTATCTTAGCTGTCATAGCTGCCTCTTTTGTTGTTGATGATGTTGTTTGCTTAGGGAATTGGAAAAAATTGTCTTAAGACACGGGCTGTTACATTTAGAAGCGACTTTTATGGAGAGAGAAACGGGCAAGTGAAATGGAGACCGCCTGATTTAATGCGCAGTTGATTACATGGACTATAGGTTAATTTGCGTAATGAAGATGGAAAATATAAAATGTTATTGATCTTCAGCCTCCAAGTTATATCCACATTATTTACAACGAACCTGAAATAATCAGGTAGGCTAAATTTCCGTCTATAACTTGATGAAGCTAGTTATAAGTTCCGTTTCTTATCTCCTTATTTTGAATTTCTGAGTGTCAAAAATGAGTTGCTTCAGGAGCCGATTAATTAGCCTCTTCCAGGCGCTAACTGAAGATACTTACGCGCAGAGATAGTGAAAACTGAAACGAAAAACGTGCGGGGGTTGCTTGACCTTGTTTTTCGCGACGTCCCCACCTGATCTGAGAACCTGGCACAGGCTACCGACCAATCGGCTCCGGTTGCAATACCAACCTTTAAAACTTCAGGATCTGTTGTGTTTTCGTCATAGTAGCTCCAAATCCAGATTCCTAGGCGTGAGGTTCCAATCTAGTAAACAGATGTAAAAGTTCGGAAAAAAATACCAACGCGTGGGCTGGCTAATATTTTGAATCAAATATATGATCTGTATTGTACAAACCACCCTTTTTGGAAACCCTTAAGAGCCAATTACGTATTCCTTCAAGGATTTCTCCAGCAATATTTCGAAACAATGTTTTGCAACAAGGTGTGGTTCGATTCTTGCTCCTGACCTTCAGTATTTGGCTAGGCCCTGTACGGCGTCTTCACAGGCCTTCTTGGCTAGTTCATTTTGGTGACGTACTTTCGCTCGGATCGCGTGACCCGAAACGGCATAACGATGCCTAGGGACTATTTGTTTCTATGACTATTATCGTTTTTTTTTTCTTTTGCTGGACTGATAACCATTTCTGCCCGGTATCTACCTACTTAACAGGCACTCGTGCATATTTAATGACTCGATAAATGCTTTGCCTACTTTAAGAATGTTACGTGTGGAATCCTCATCATCCGTTCCAACCGAAGCAAACAGCAAAGAGTGTACATTCAGGTCTCTTTGAATGTGTCCCATTTTTTCTTGCACTGTCCAGGAGTTCAGTCCATTTCCCGTTACAGTCCATCCACCGTACGTCTCTATCAAACGTGCTAAAGGTGCAATTCCTCGGTTGTTAATAGCAGCTGTATTTACGCAAGAGTTGTAAATTTGGACGGTTTTCCTTATCGATAAACTCTGTTACGAAAAAAAAATAGAAAAAGGAAAAAATTGGTTAGACTACAGGTAAATCTTAATTCTGTTTTTATTATTCCTTTTATTTGAGAATAAGCTTAACCCTAGTGAGCTTGCTAGCAGGCCAGAATAAGCTCCACTGCATTTTTTCTTTTCTGGCTCCCCAAGAGTTAAGGGACGTATCAAAATTCCTGTGCTCCCTGCTTATATGGCCCAGTAAATTAATGGGAGTTTAGTTAATGCCCACAAATTAACTAAAACAAACTTGATTTCAAACCTGAGGGTAAATAGAAGTAGCATTCCGCAACACATGCCGTATAACTCTCATATTGTCATGGAAGAGGACCGAAAAGGCAGATTCCACGCTGTTATTTTCTCCGAGCTGATGTTTTTTGAAAAAACCTCCGCATACGTAGGAGAAAAAGTCTTCACAAGGATTCACTGTTTTGTTCAGCTGTCTGGAAATTTCTGAAATCGTGAAACAGTCGATATCATTCGCCTTTTTAGAAAAGAGAATGGAACGGGAGCCGACATGCGTCCCGCAACTGTTTCTGGGATTATTACTGATGACGCACCGGTCAGCGCTATTGGCCGATTTTTCCCCCGTCCCTATATAGTAACAGTCCCAGAAGTCTTTGCAAAAGTTAACTCGGCCCAGTTTCCTTCTCGTTTCTAGAGTAGCGATTGTGTAAAAATGTAAGCGTGGTCACTCATTCATTTCTAATATAGAGGATATTACATGCCCGCACGTGGATACGAATTTTATCTTCGAGTGTTCAACTCGATATCTCACGAGTGAGCGCAGGGAACAAGTGAGATATCGAGTTGAAAACGAGAAGATAAAATTCGTATCTACAAGCGGGACACCGATGGCGAGATGCTGTGATGCTCTTTTCCTATTGGCTGAAACTGACGTAGCCATGACAACCGTGATATCTTTACGGGTGAAGGATAAAAATTGTATCTTCACTGGATACCAAATTTTCGTCACTGGAAAAATCCTGGTCTTTCATCGGTGTCTATGTAATAAATTAATATTATTTGCTTCAAACCAATGGATAAAATAGGTTCTAGTCTACGTGGCAGGCCTTTGATGGGGAGGAGATTTTAAGGCGCATGAAAACGCCATGGGCGAGCGAGAAAGGAGGGAAGAGAAACCCTAAATATACACACGTACCTTTCAAACGTGCGATCGCCGCGCGCCTTCAAATTTTGTTTATGTAGAATAACCTCGCTGCTGTAAATGAATATTTAACCGTTGTTTTTGCTTCAATTTTAATTTAAACACTTCAAACACCAACCTTGAGAGATTTTGCGCGTGAAATTACAAATGATCGGTGGTGTTGTTGTCGATGAGTTTGTCAATGGCTTCGATGACGTCCATGGCCTTGTTGTCGTCTGCGGCACTTCGGAGGTTGGTGTTGTTTCAGGTCCCGCTAAAACGATACGAAATGCAATTGTTTTTTTTGTAGAAGTACGTAGTTACTAGCGGAGTTAACTGAACAGAATTTTTTTTTACCTTCAGTTACGATGGCCAGACAGGTCAAAATGAAAAAATCTTAATCGTTTTAGGGTAAACACAGTTTTCTTGTTTCATGTAAATAGCCATACTAGTGAAAGTCGATAACTGACGGCCATTAGGCAATTCCAATTTTTGTAGCCCATATGAAACAGACATACTAATCACAACTCTTTTATTAATTAAAGTATGCACTTTCACAAGGCTGCATTATATTTGGAGTAAGTGAATAGAGCCTCCAATTTAATTGAAAATAGAAAACAAAAACACGTAACTTGATTGAATTTGAAAGGTGCAGGCCTTCATGTCTTCCTATCTAAATCTTTACACTCTACTGGAGACTCCTCGAATCTAGGGTGTACTTAAACCTCTATATACCTGTCTCACATGTTTTTTTGTTTTTTTTTACTTAATGCCAATAATACAAGAAGAAGGATGAAAATGAACTGTTTTCTCGTCTAAGAACATGCAACTCGAGGTTACAAAATACCGTTGAGCCTTTACTACGAGATAGTGTAATGATAACACAAAATGCTACCCTAAGCAATGCAAAGGAATGTAAGATACAAAAACGAAACAAAATTTTAATCCGGGATTAACGCTAATCGGCCTTTCAGGAGCCGGGCCCAGAGAGTAGACATAGTTCCGCGTAACAAGAACGGAACTATTTATATTTGGAACATTGCAAATCCTATATACATGTATTCAGTGTTGTCCAACGTTTAGCCTAGTCTCACCAAATATTTCACTTTACGTTTTTGTTCTCGCTAAAAAAACAGAGCTTGAACAAAGAATTAATGCTATTAAAATATTCCGTCATTAGAAACTTCTAAGACTATTGATAATGATAGAAATATGAATATTTCACGAAAAACAAATGGACCGTGAATTGCTTCGGTCATCATCAGTACTGGTTTTTGACGTTTTTCATTCGAAGTATTACTTTTGTCTCTGAGTATTTTCCTCCGTAAATTAAAGGAAATGCAGGTTAACGTGGAGGTTTTTCGCATGTGAGCTCCTCGACTGACTTAGACTGAACTAAAGCACTGGAATCCGAGTTATCACGTAGACAATCCGAAGTATGCAAGCTACTGAACAATAGTCCCGGGAATAGTTAGAGGCTGGACAGTGTAAACTATTCTACGATTGCTTTAGCTTAGTCCAATTTGCACAGGTACCTTTCCGGGTTTTAAGCAGGTGATCCACTGGGCGAGGCCATACGTTAGCAATAACCTGATATATTAGCTCAGTGTAATCTAAAGTGACAGATAAGTACCTTTGTAGCTGGACTTGTTTTTGATGCCAAATACAACACCTAACACAACGATCCCAATAATAATAAGCACCGCAATCAAAATAACGCCGGCGATCAGTCGACATCTCTTCCCTACACAGTACGGACGGAGACGGTAGGTGAAGCCAAACTTGCTTCTTTCATTGGTCACAATGGTAACATCGTCTGCTGTTATTTCCATTTTCAGCCTGTGGAGAGACGGAATACGGTTTCAGTGTAGTACAGTACTTTGTCTAATGGTGATGCACTGACTAAACTAGCCGGCTGACTACAGCAGCAACTGAAGTGCACAGGTAAAGGAGCAAAACTATTTAATAATTGATACGTCACACTATGATTGACAATCACTTCCGCTCGGCACTTGTAATTGATTCATCTTGTTCAAGTTCATTTCCCACGCCAGGGGTTGCCATGCAATACTTTCAAATATCGATACAATTCAACAATTTCATGAAGAGGGCTTTTGGTATACTTTCAAGTGTGTAATGCCATAGTTACTAAGAGGATACTGGTGTTGAAAGCTGGGCAAACTCAAAGATGAAAAAATTGTGGTGCTGCTGTTTATTGCTGCTAAGAAAAGTTTTGAAGACGCTCCTCAAATGATGGGAATGCTATTTACACTGTCAAGTTCAAAAGGCTAACAAAAACATCAAACAAGTCTTTCAGGCTTCATAACCATTAGCTTCATACTTTATTAACAGACCATTCCACGGTTTTTTCAACTTTTGATTCGGAAAAGTTAGTGAAAATCCCTCAACTCGGCTGGACAGAACGCCAAAAAATTCAGTAAAGTTGCTAAGCTTGAAAGTGATTTGTTGAAAATTAACGAAGATATAGCTCTGCAAAGTTGCGGAATTTTACAGACGTTTGTTTGGTGGTGGCAAGTTCGTGCCCCCCACCATACAAACGGCTGTAAAATTTCGCGACTTTGTGGAGCAATAACGTCGCTCTCTTTGGACGCATCACCTTTAAACTTCGTAAGTTGCCCTATTTTAAGCGGTGCCCTCTTCCCAGCAGTGTTGATACTCATTTAGATATTCTCTTACTACTCTTTATCAAAAGATGAGATAAAATTGTGGAAGGGTCTATCATGGTAAAGTTTAGACTATTGTATAAGTCCTTATTGCCTCTTTTTATGTTTAAGTAGATGGTTTGTAGGCTTTGGTCTATATATTATCTCACATCTGAGTAAAACTGAAAAGTGCCTTGAAATTTGTTACAACTTTAAAACGACACGACGAAAACCCTCCAAATTTCGGAAACCTTAAAGGAAACAATTTCTAATATCGATCTTTAGTTAAAACTGTCAGTTTGAGTGTTTCCCTTTTCACCACAGTCGACTCCCGATAACTCGAACCTTCAAGGGCAATCGAAAAAAGTTCGAGTTATCGGGAGCTCGAAGAAAATAGCCGGGAGTAAGGAAAAAAACACGCAGGTTTTACTGCATAGTGAACATTTTAATTACATATAATTGTACAAATATTAAGGGACTGTGCAATAATTACCTGGAGGGGGGTTGGGAAATGGGTGAAATATGCCCCAAAACTAAGTCATATCCCCCCTCTCATTAAGCAAAAATTAATTTCAACTCCCCCTCACATAACGATAATATTAAGGCTAACCCCCCCCTTGAAAAAAGTCTCCTCCCATTGATTCCCTCATACCTAGTTTACTATTCAGGAATTTCTGTCTGATTGAGCTTTTTTTTAAGCTTAATTTTATCATACTGTGTTTTATTTACCATACTTTAAATTTGTATTGCTATTAAAATCAGTAGACCTTCACCGTTCTACACCTCCTATTTCACTGGTCCCCTTTAATCTGCGCCTCCATTGTTTTCAGGGATAGGGGCATTGTTATGTGACAGTCCCTATTGTTTTCCCAGCTAATCAATAACAATCTTTCAAATAGGTGCGGGATCTCCCATCAAAATTTTTCATTCTGCCAAATTATGATGCCAGGTGTGCTAACATTGGCATCTTTCTTTTCCATTTAATAACATTATAGTGCTACTTTTGCACCTTTTAATTAAAGTTTCCTGTTTTATTAAATCCTAGTGCAAATAAAGTAGCACTGTTTTAACATATATAACAGAGGCATTCCCTTCCTAATGCATGACAGATAGCAAAACAACAGTTCATAGATCAGAACACATTAGAGTTGAAAAATTTTTCACTTTTATTCCAGTGTTAGTATATATATTTGAACTCTAATAACTCTTCCACTACTTTTCCAGTTTGCAAAAAGGAATGAAAAAGTAATTCCCCCCTGTATGTATTAAATTTTACATCCAGCCCCCCTCTCTCTTGTTGTCATTTTCTCCTATGCCCTCCCCTCTAATTTTCCAAACCCCCCGCCCTCCGGGTAATTACACCTTTTGCTGTTTATTACGAGAAAATACGCAGTCTTTTGCGTGAAACGGCGACCAATGGTGCGAAGATACATTCATTAGCGCCGAAATACGAACATTTGCGCATAAATCAGATTCAATTACAATTTTTGCATTTTAATCAACATTCAATAACACTTTTGGGCATTCATATGCGTCATTGGGCATACAAAAGAGAGAAATATACTTTCATTAAGGCCAACATCAAAGTCATTAATACCATCTTGAAAGTCAATAGTCAAAAGTCAAAAATCGTTACTGAATCTTATTTACGCGCAAATGTTCGCTTTTTCGCGCTAATGAATGTATCTTCGCGCTGTTGGTCGCCTTTTCACGCAAATGAATGCGTGTTTTCTCGTAATGAACAGCAAAAGGTGTATTGCACAGTCCCTAACTGAAAATTGAGAGATACTTCTAGGATATAAATCAGAACGTAACGTAACAAAACATTGCCTAAATAGAGCGTTTTACTGTATTGAGAAGTACAGCTGTTTCACGTTAGATTTGTGACAAACAACATCAGCCTCCACTAGTAAACTATATGTCTACAACACGTCAATGGGAAATTCAAAATCCAATGTTTCGGACGCCAAACATTGGTTTTCCCGACTTTTTAAGGGCTCAAAACATGGTTCGAGTTATCGAGGGTAAAATTATATAGAAATGATCAGAGGGGAAACAAAAAATACTTCTAGTTAGCGGGAGGTTCGAGTTATCGAGGGTTCCAGTTACAGAGGGCAAAATTACAGTAAATGTATGATGGAAATCCAGGGGAAATCGCTTTTGGTTCGAGTTAGCGCGAGGTTCGAGTTAGCGAGGGTTCGAGTCATCGGGAGTCAACTGTATTTCCTTTAAAACTTTATGATGAGACTTACCTTTACATTTCCGGTTAAAGTTTTGTTTTGTTGGAGGAAAATGTATTTTTTTTCTTACTGAGGATCTCAACTAAGCAACTGCATTTAAATGACCTATGGCGTATTCATTAGGTCATTCTCCGTTAGTATAACCATTTTTCACACATTTTCTCCCATTCACTCAAAATTCTGATTGAACCGTGAGACCTATAGCATTAAAAGACCAAAAATGCGTTAAACTCAAGCAAAGTTTGTCTGAACGTGATGGAGGCACTAGCTTTCACAAAACACTGTTCTTTTAAGAATAAAATTGTTATTTTTGCTGACTGCATTAGTAACTGTCCATCTGAGGGGTCAGAAATGGCTGCCTCGAAATTCAAAATAGCCGATTTATGAAGTCATGTGACGTCACAATCATAGATTTGACTATTTTTTTTCACTCAGAGCTCCACTCTGAACGGAAGATTGCACTAGTTCCATGAAGAACAAAAATGTAAGTACCATTAAACCTTTTTGCAATTTTTCTTACTCCCCAAACCTTAAACAGGCCTCGGGTCCTGGAAAGCCGATTATCGCTTATCCAGGATTAAATATCGCTAATCGCGGAATAAATTTTATCCCACGATTAGATTTTGTTCCTGAAAGCACGATTAAGACTAATCTAGGAACAAACTACGTGTTAACTTTAACCCACCTAGCGAGGACGATTAACTCACTAATCGGGGGGAAAAGTTTGTCAAAACAAACAAAATTACAGACCTACTGTTTCACAAATACGCGAAAGCTCCAACAGCGAGAAATTGACCTCGACCAATCAACAGACGAAGAAATTCGCAGCAGATATAGGTTTGACCGAGAGTCAATCAAATGTCTATGGCAGACGAGAAGAAACCATGCGCTGTCGCCAATTTTTCGCGCCATATTTTTTCAGAAGCAGGTGGTCGAAAAACTCGTTAAACCGGTTTTTTAGCACTAATCTGGGATTAGTTAATCGCGTGATAATTTCGCTTTCAGGAATAACTTTTTAACCCACGATTAGTTATCCGGGGAAAAAGAAATTTAATCGTGGATTAACTGCTACTCGGAGGATAGATTAGTCGGCTTTTCAGGAACCGAGGCCAGGTGAATAACGCTGTGGTTGATCGTTTGATCGAGCTTATTCGCCACTTCAGAAACGAGAAGAAAACTAGGTCGAGTTTACTTTCCGGCGCAAAGACTCCTGGGATTGTCACTGGAAAGAGAGAAAATGGCCAATAGCTGACCGGCGCGTTCCCATGGTAACGACCCCAGAAAGAATTGCGGGACACATTTCCGCTCCAGTTCCCTTTTCGTTTCTAACGTGGCGAATGAGGATCAGCGGCGTAATAGCCAGGAATGCTTGATCATAGATGTCAAAGGCATCAATGAAAATAGACTGCTGAAGCCACAAAACATAATCCAAAAGTATAGTGAAAAGTGTTACTGATTTCTTCATTTATGTCCGCGCCATTTAAGTTGTAAGTGACGTCATCTGTACGTATCTGTTAGGATGATGGCGTGTTAAAAACATGCCAAGTTCCATCGCAAAAGCTTTCAGTTCTATGGGGGAGGGCGGGGCGAGGAAGAGAGGCGGGCAAAAAATATGCTCAGGAAAAATACCACACATATATTGTGAAAATCAAAATATAAAGGTATCATAGTGCTGTTTATTTAAAATATAAATTTGCCAAATTTACACTTTCAACCGATATTGAGGTAACCATAAGTATATGTCAAAGGCTGCCATCTCAAAGTGGGCGTAAAAAACGTTAAACGTTTAAGTCTAAGGTAGGGTAGCAATGTCAACGCCTTTAATTTTGTGCACATACTTCTTCACAAGTCGGCCAACTCTGTCACGATCCACACTGCTATTGGATTCTTCAATCTGCCAATAAATACAAATAAAATTAAACATCCCACAGAATTCAGAAAAAGAACATTTCTTCATTCTTCTTTACTTTATAATGGAAAACGCGATACGTGCCGGGCTGGAATCCAAAAGTACTTGCAGTGTTTCTTTGAGTGCGTTCGGTTTTTTCGTTTAGTGAAACCTGTGTATTGCTATTGAAAAAGTATCAATAGACATAATTCTTAGGAAGCAAGAGTGGCGTATTGTTAAGAGAACTTGTTTCTACCATTGTGGCCCAACTCTGATTCGGCCTAGTGTTCAGATATGAATTGAAATTGTTGAGTGTACCCTTTTTTGCGACAGATTTTTTTTTTCGGTACTACAAATTTTCCCTGTCCTTGAAATAATCGTGAAACGCATGAACATACACGCGTCTTATTTAGCTTAATATTTAGTCTCACAACGAATAATGAATGGCTGTAACCCTGACTGACTAAGCAATATGCACATACAATATGCGGTATCTCAGTGGCACGTGCAATTTTATTCTTACACTGATATAAGACAAATCGACCACATTCCAAATTTTCTACTTGTGTGCATCACGTCTGTAACATACTGGAAACTTGCATAGCACATCAATTCTGTTTCAGTTTAAGCAAATGGTCTTCAAGAACAAACATCTCACAAACCTTTTCCACGCTCTTTTTCATTATTAGCTTGTAGTCATCTTTAGTGATCTTTCCTTGTATATAAAATGGCTTCAGGGCTAACTTTACCTCGTCTACGATTTGTTGATGTCGCTGGAGACGTGCTATTCCCTGAACAAATTTAAAAAAAAGTATTTGTAAGTATTTGTAGGTCCAATAGTAAGCGATCAGTTACTCATGACAAATGCACCAATAAGAAGCGCGGATTTGTCACAAACTGTACTTTGAAATCCTGTCAATTACCTTTGGGTTTATTAACTGTAAATAAAGAACTGCGACTAGTTCGCAGAAAAATTGCACGACTTTAAGGGCTTTTTATCCCCATAGTGCAAAGGAGCCATAAACTGTAGTTGAGTAGTTCTAAAGTTTAAGTTGGACGACTGAAGTCCAGTGCTATAACTACTTAAAATTATTTACATACTTTGCTGATCTTTCGTGTCGTATTATTTGCTTTCGGCATTTTACACATGACATGTATAGTACTCAAATTAGATGACTTTGATGAAATGAAATGAGATTGGACTCCTTTAGGTTCCTAGTAAGCGAAGAAAAAGAACAGAGAGAAAACAAAACAAATAACTTTAAAAAAATCGACTGCGTGTTTTCCCACCCAATTCTACAAATTTTGACGAAACTGTCGAGAAAAGGTAGCTAGCCAAGCAAAGGAAGAAATAAAGGTCCCCCTCCCCAAATCAACGTTGCTTGCACCTCTTTAAAGAGGATACGTATTAGAATCAGCTTTGAGTAAGGGGGGAGGGGAGGTAAGTTGCACTTAGACAATTTGTATGCCATCGATAGTAGGTGTCAGTTCATATACTACTAATCAACTATTTTTTTGTCCTTACCAATTTTCTCTGTTGATCTCGATCACCATTTGTACCAGGTACCTTTTCATCTTGACCTCGTTTTGACAGTTTATCTCCGGAGCGAGGGTGAAAACCCGAATGCACTCTTTGAAAACTCCGAGAATAAGAGCTGTGGGCGTCAATGATTCCACTTGCAATACTCTTAACGGGCGAACTGTCAGAAATAATGGATTGAAGTACGGCTGGCGAAGCCTTTGTGGGACTCGAAACGTGAAGCGAAGGTTTCACGACCGCAACTGGCAAAGTAACCGCACGTGAGCGACCTGCAAATTCATCTGAACTGTGCGGTCTTTCACTTGACCGCGTCCTCGAATTTACTTCATCGCTACTGCGTGTCCGGAGAGAAAGAGGAGCTTTAGGATCGTCTAACATCTGCTCCCTCATATTCCGCTGCTTTTCTTGCAGCATTTTTAGAATTTCAATGTTACTACGTCGTTGCTCTTTGCCCCGCACGGGTTTAGAATTGTCATTGAACGTCGCTTCTTCAGTTAGAGGGGGGAAAAAATTGGAGGCAGGATCATCACCAAAGTTCTTTGCGTGACAAGTTGTCACGTTGTTCGACTTTGTTTCTCTCCCCACGCTGGAAGACGTGGAATTGCAATCAACAGCGTTCACTGGGTGACGCGAGGACATGCTTTTCCGTATTTGAAAACGGTTCACATTAACAGATCCTGAATTTATGGTACTTCCAGTAGTACTTCCAGTTGGAGCTGAATTATAACTGTGAGGGATGCTTATTTTACTTGCGTGACATCTACTCAAGCTACTTGAATAACTTGTGTTTGACTTTTTGTCAGTTGATAAATTAGGAGCATTTTTTCGCTCAAAATTCTTGTGCAAAACATGCCTGACTCTATCAAAACCCGAAGAACTTTGTGTAGTCGTTACACCACAAGTTGAAGAAGGCAATCCCTTGTTTGGAGAAGTGACATTTGAAAGCAGCACTCTTTGTTCCTTACAAGACGTTCCTAGCTTCTGTCCAACGCACGCAGTGTCTGAATTTGTCACCATTGCATTGGCAAAGTTATTCATTGAGATGTCGTCACCGCAGCTATTTGTCCGTTTGGGTATTTTGAACTTGGAAATGGAGCACACGGAAACTTGATCATGTTTATCACTCGTAGAGCCAAAGCCCACACCCGAGAACACTTGCTTTGATTCATTTTGAGAGTTAAGAGATGAACGTCGTTTAGGAATTCTGAAAGCATACAATGTGGGTTTAGGAGAAACAGGTTTTAACGGTGTCGAAGAAGACGCTGAAGATGTTTTTGGAGGATGTATTGTTTCCTTTGGCTTGCCACAAGACGCAGAATCCGCCGTCTTTAAACGATTTTCAACAGATTTTTCAAGCGAACAGTCTTTATTTCCTCCTGGATTGTCAACTGATGAGACGGTCGCATTGTTAGTTCCTTTGCAAATGATGATTCCTTCATCCTTTGGCTCTTTCTTTTCTACTAGGGGTGTTTCCTTTTCCTTTTCACTCTGGTTTTTGTCCCTTAAATTGTTTGCACTATCTCTCCTATTTTCGGTATTTCTGGCTGGAGATCTTTCGACACGTGAGGGGTCATCGCGCGCAACCAGTTTACCGTCACGTGAAAGCTGACTGCTGGAACTATGCAACGTGTGCAAACCTTGAAATATAGATCCAAGGACATCTGGATTGTCTGATTCCGAACTGAAAACAAACAAGGTAAAGATGAGAATATTACTAAAATTCTTGCTTTATAGCGTTTGTTTATTTTAGGTTTTTCATAGTTCCTCCGGAATTTAGCATACACCTCTCGGTACAAGGGTACAAGGGTACAAGAGTTGTGTACAGTATAAAGTTGACGCTTCTTTGCAAAACAGCTTTGTCAAGCTCATTAGTTATGTCTCCTTCTAATTTGACAGCAAGAGATCATTATCCTTTCCTGGCGACTAGCATTATGCATAGGTGCTGTGGTACTAACTCAAGACACTTCTACACTAATACTATGACTCTATTACTGACACAAACAGGTATAGAGAGAACACCCTGCGTGCCTTTTGGACCAACTTGATCTAGCTGTAATGATAAAGAAAAAACTAATTAGCTAAAGTAAATGTTAACGCAGTTTCACCCAAAACTTTACCTCCACGCTGTTGCTTGTTCTACCCTCGGAGTTTCTTCTTGGACATCATTTTCCTGCTCATCGAAATCATGCAAAGCAAAGGCGTTGCCAAACAACGAAAAGCTGGAACTCGGTTCAAGTCTGCTCGGAAATGGTACCCTTCCACTTGAAGTGGAACGTGACGGTTCAGTCGAAGGACCTGGAGCACTCAAACTCTCCAACAGGCGTGCGTGAACAGTTTTGCCGCGCCTTTTTGGTTCGTAAATAAACGGCGATACTTCCTCTTCTTTTGCTACTCTTCGTTTCTTAGTCGATTTCTTTGTTTTTCTTTTTGACGTCTTTTTTGACCGCTTTCTACTCGATGACCCTGTTTCTTTGGTGCTTCCACATCGACGTTTCTTTCGTCTTCTTGTTTTCTTTTTTGAACTTGATCGCCGTCCTCTAGTACTCGAACTTCGTCCTCCTCGACCGCGGCCTCGACTGCCACTCCTTCCCCGCCCTCTGCCTTGTCCTTGCAGAGTTCTGCCTCGTCCTCGGGTTGAGGCAACCGTTCGGGCTGTCCGTGTTGTCCCTAACAGGAAGATATTATACCGTTAGATCTGTTACTTGAGCTATGGGCGTTACCTCTCAAGCCTTTTACTCGAAATATTCTGATCAAGAACCTGGTGCGCCAATTCAAGACATCTCTTTTACACCAATTTCCTCCAATGGAAAATTATTTTTGGATTACATTCGTTTTATGGCTATTCCCATTGATGCTTACCATTTGCAATATATATGTAAGCTCTTTGAGAAGCCACTAATTTACAAGACGAATGACAGCCTGTCGTCCTTATCGTAAATCTGTTCTTGTTCCTGTTTTTAACTTGTACACAGCAAGCCTTGGAAGCCTGCTATTTTACGCAAGAACCTGTTTTAACCCCGAGCAGCCATAACGACGTATAGGGCGGGGGATCCTTGCAGCAGATGAGAGTCCTGTAGGGGAAGGGCAGGGGAAAAAATACCCGCCGAGGACCATCAATAGTGGTCTTTGCAGTTCACTGATGAAAAAAAGACAACATACTAAAAATCCACATCGACTGTACCTGTTCTGTCTGAACCAGAAACGCGTCTTGCAGTACTTCCTCGTGGTCTACCGCGCGTGGTACGCGCGCGTGTTAATTCCCTGGGGCTGTCACCCTCTTGTTCTTCCGGTTCCTGGTATGATGAGCATGATGGACAGAACCACTCATCCAGCGGTACAAACTCGGCAGGGGGAGTTAAACAATCCATATGGTAACTAAAAACAAACACAAATGCGCAGTCGGCCCTCAATAAAATTGAACTCCTATGATACAAAAATAACGGACACCCCTTGTATTTCAAAGGAAATTCTACGCCACAGTTACAACGAAATGTAAGAACTAGGACTCTGATAAATCGTACCCCCCTCCCCCCCGGTTAAAATGAGCGATTGTTCCAGTCCCTTTATCCTTCTTTGTATCAGGGTCCCTCTCAGATTTTAGTTGCAGCATACGGCATAAGGCATCATACATTTGGGCGTAGTTTTGTGACGTTGTATTACCCCAGGTCAAGTTACTCTTTAACCTGCCTGACTTGCATGACGTCTGCACATACAGTGTAAGTTAACTACATTCTACAAACTGACAAAATCATATTCTTTGTCACCAACAATCTCTCTAAAAAACTGCAGTACTTTGAGGCTCAAACCAACATAGCAACAAGTTACTGCCTACTGTTCTTTGTAAGCTGAAATGTGAACTAAATTTTGAGGCACTACACCAGACTGCATCAAACAATATTATAAGCTGTTTTAATCTCACCCATTGTCACATCCATCGCATAACAGCATTCGGTCTTCTCTGTCACATTCACCACAAACCTGGTGAATTAAAAAAGAGACCTGAAGTTGAAAATGAAAATTGTAATATACATGCACCCATGCCTGGAAATGACTGTACATTCTGTGTAACGATTGTTCTTGCTGCATTTTGATGTCTTTACAGCCTATGTGATCTACATGTAATGACAACTGAACAGACAAATAGCAAAATTGAATAGCTACAAAATACCTCACAGTAGGTGGGATCATCTTCCTGTTCATCATGTTCTGCTTGTCGCTCCTCAACTGGAATCTACAAATGATAAAATTAATTTCAAGCATGTTTTGTTACTCTTCATGTTCCACTAATGTCTGACAAACAATAATGCAGGAAAGTCCAGGACTGGGATTTGAGTACAGGTTGCAATCTTCGGTAAACACCAGATGTAAGTTGTTCCAAAGGTGGATACCACTAGCCACTGGATAAGTACCCACCCAGTGGATAATACAACTGGTTTCCCTAACATTACTTATCCGATGGATAGTGACTTATCCAGAGGAAGGAGCGGTCAATGTTTGAACTATTGAGACCAAGCCCCATGCAGTAATTCATTCAAAATATTCTGCCATTTCTGATTGACTCCAATCCCCCAGCTAGTTCTAAGGCTGAAGGCCTCAGTGGATACATCCTCCTAAAATACAAAAGAATGGAAAGACACACCAGACAATAACCACACCAAAACAAAATAATCATCTTACTAACAGTAATTTCTGCAACACCAAGAATTGAATATTGTTTGACGAATGATAAAAGAAATTCTGCAGTATACCAGTAGGAACATTTACTTACTCTTTGCAGGACTGGTCCTTTCTTTGAAGCATGAACCAATATTTCACTGAATGGTTTCCTTCCCACTGGACAGGTAGTAGCATTCTATGAATATGTAGTTTTAATAAAGTGTAAGTCTGACTTTCGGCCACATAAATTTAAGAAAATACCTTTTATGCCAAACTGTTAGTAAAAAACAATGCACTGATGTACATCTTGTGTACTACATCTGTATGAATAGTCATGTTAAGGGTATATCTCCTAAGATTAAAAAAGGTGGGTGGGCAAAAAAGTTGCCGATCTATAAAGGTGAAGAGGCAGATGAACTCAGGATTTCATGTACCAGGAAACAAATTTAGGAACTGGTCACAGCAGAACCAATCCCAGGACCTGATTTCAAGGTGGGTGCCTAAATGTAAATCACACAGCCATGCTGTTAACTGATGCCAAGCCCAACATCTACAGCTGCAGCTATGCTTGGGTTTCAGTTGCATGTGATTGCAAATGATTTTTAAATCTGATGATTCTCACCTTTGCCCATTCCTGGATACAATCAAAACAAAACACATGGGTGCAGTTGTTGGGTGTCCCAAGAAGCTGATCCTTGAGGGACATAAGACACACTGGACACTGATCAGTGTTACCAGAGGACATCTCATCACCTGACTCTTCAATAATTACTTCATCCAGTGGATTATCAAGTCCGCCATTTTCTTCATCTGCAGGCCAAGGAGAAAATTAAGACAGAATCTATCAAGAAATTAAGTAATTTTAATCTTTAGTGGACAAAACCCTTGTACCTGAGCATTTTAAACCATATCACATTCTTTCTTACACTTTTCAAGTGCAATAGATGTAATTAGTTATCTGTAATAACACCAAAGACAATTTCTTTATGGGAGCCCCAAAAAATAAATTTCAATTTCACAGGAATTTAGAAAGCACAGGTAAAATCATCATGCACAAGATTTCACTCCATAAAAAACCTTATCTTTGGAGTTGTTTCATATAAATTATTACATTTAATTAGCCCTTGAAAAGTGTAAAAAAGAATGCCATATATGGCTTAAAATGTTGTTCGTACTGAAAATAAAATTACGTAATTTCCTGATGGATTCCTTAATACATCATGGAAAATGACTGATTTAGAAAATGAAAAAAACTGTAACATGAATATACCTTGGTCATCATCATCATCTTCATCGTCATCATCATCATCATCATCATCATCTTCATTGTCGTCATCTCCACTTAGGTCATCATCACTACTATCGTTAAAGGCCTCTGAAGCTCTTCTCTTCCTTGTCCATGCTTTATAACTTAACTTTTCTTCAGGAGTAACAACAAAACCTTCAAAGTCTTCCTCTTCACTACTGCTGCTGTCCATCAGCTTACTGGTAATTTAACATATCATATTGGTTTTCCAAGCCATGAATAGACAGGGCTAGAATATGCATGAAAAAGACGATGCAAAAGACTTTTTATTAATGAATCATTAAATACAAGATGATGACAATTTCTCTCTCCAACTATTGACCCTCACAGCAGAGAGACATCAAGACAAAAGTTAAATTGGCAGAATATCATAGTTTACCACATAAAATAAGTCACATTTGAATTTAGATATGAAAGATTAAAAAGTAAAATTCTGTCAACAAGTTGATGATTTGATGCTCTTAAAAATAACAGAGAAAATTATTCGTGAAAATGCTTTTGAACGAAAGAAAAAGAAACCTGGGTTAAATTTAACCCTAGGTTAAGTGCTAATCGTCCTTTGAACAACTGGGCCCTGGCATTCAAGAACCTGTTAGGCTAAAATTGCCAGTTATATCCCCTCTATACAAGAACTGTTTAGCCTTAAATTGAAACAGGTTATTTTATAAAACCTATGAAAAAAAATTCTGTACACTTGGGCAAATAAGATAAGTCAACATTCATGATTCTTCCCAATAGGTGCCTTATCACTCCAACCGCGAGGTAAAAGTATGTAGATATATTACTCTTAGCTGCAATGTATTTTTTCCTTCAAAACATAAGAACCTAAATAGCCTAAATTTGAACCGATAACCACTCAGTTAAGGACCTGTTTAGACTAACCGGGAAAATGCAGGTTCTTTCTCGCGAGTTTTCACTGTATTATAATATTAAAGCTAACAAGAGTGCGTCAGCTGGTTTCGATTTCTTGCCATTGTCTAAACATACCAGTATTCAGCTGTCTAGCCAGTATAATTATTATTTCCCTCAGTCCAACAGTCTTTGGCTCAAGCAAAAGATATCGAACTGTATGAGAAAACAAGACAAAGCTTGCTTGTCTAAAATTCTAAGTTATTGTCAAATCATGCAATCGATAGCCTTAAAATCGTAATAAAATGACAGAACACGTCCGGCGAGCGCCGGAAACAGGCAGTTCAACAGTGATGTTTCTGAAACTTCACGCACCTCAAGGTCGCACTATACCTAACTGCGGAAACAAAGAATATATTCTGCAGTTACCTGAACGAGCAGTTTTGAAAAATTCTGGCTGTGCGATCGTGAAAAAGAAAATATATTTTGTCACATGTTGCTTGTGGCCTGCGCCATTTTCGTTCCACGTCTCAAGGGCGATACCGCTGGGCACATAAACAGTAGCCATCGAGGTGAGACGTTGCGTGACGAACGTCCCTATCTATATCTTTCATCGGAAACTCATAAGGGGTTGAGTTTCTGCTTTCATAGAATGAAAAACTCTGCAAGACCGCCAAAGGTTCCACCGTCAGTGACCAGAACTTTGGTGAATCTTTACCTCTAGCCCTGCGTCTTCTTCCAATCTCACGGGCTACACTCTTAGAACGGAAATTTCCTTTGTGGAAGGGGTGCTGACTTTTTTAGGCTCACTGATCAGATGCTAATCATGAAGACTGATGTTCTTGGGTCAAAATGGAACACAAACAGTTTGTGCCAATCATGTGTTTTGATGGGCTCCTAACAGTAGCCCCACCTTATTCTAAGGCTAAACTGAGGCCCACCATGGCCAAGGAAAAATTCAGTGAAGCTGTCCCCGCCCCCTCTCCTTAGTGACTGGATACCTTCATCTCTCCTTTAAAACCTGGGTGATATAATACTGATTGCTTTTGTACACTGTTTTGAACTAAAAACCGCAGCAACTCAGATGAAGGTAGAGAGTAATAAGTTATTTCCCTAACACTTGATCGATAAAATATGAGTCTGGACAGTTCCAAAATTTAGAAGTGAACACTGGCACATAACATACATCGGTCACAGTTAAGCTGGCCGATCTGTTCTATGAAAAGAAATATTCCTTACTTTTATTTAACATTCAACAGAATACTACAATTAAAATAGTAAAATAACTGTGTTTTCAGAAGCTAATAATGCCGGGCGTCAGTTATTTGTTGTGCTTTGTAAACACTGAAGTACAAATTCATACGCAGGCAATTAACGTCATATCAACACTCGTTGGTAGGTATCGGCCCTTTTTTCCAGCAGCTGATAAATGTACAGATTTGAAAGGCTTTGTTCAGTGAAATTATGTTTACTCACTATTTGCCTTAAACCTGTGAAAAAAAACAATAACAAATTGTTCGTCATTCAATTTGTTTGTGTACAGGTTGTAAGTAAGCTCCATTGTGCTCGTACGTTTCATTATTCAGTGCTATGTACTATTTAGCCTGTGATTCAACAGCTAATTGCACAGATGCAGAGGTACCCTGCACAAATAGCCCATCAATGGAAAAAGCCGAGTAATTGCTTTTTTTTATGAAAACCGGCTACCAAGCTCAACAAATTCGTAAAGAAATTTAAGGCTGTTTAAATTATTTCACTGATTGCTTTTTTTGGTTCGGCAGAGCTTGTTGGAGTCAAACCGACTGAAGCAAGCGGATTATATCACTAAGATACTACGCAGGGTGGCTGTGTCAGGACAATAATCTTCACAAATTTTGAAAAATGAAATCTATCATAACCATCCTCATTTTGGTCACATATACCCACGCATGGAGATGGCCATGGCAGAAGCCAGATTGTAAGTATATTGATTTTTTTTTTACTATTCTTATTAATTATTATAACTTCCGTTTAAATTTCCATGATGTTAAAAATAATCTTAATGTATCAATTGCCTGATCACTTGTTAGCTGAAATTCACTAAATGTTTCACCTTAACTAAGATGAGCATCACGCTTGCTTGATATATATATATAGGCTAGAACACTTATTTGCTCCAGAGTTGCACCGGCTATAATTTGAAATTTTTAGACATAGCGGCAATAACACTCTCTTGCCGTAAGATTAAGTCTGCTTTGTCATTCCCCAGTCGATATAACTTAGATAATTCAGTCGAACTGTTCATTTCTAACTGTTTTCAGAGTTTGCAATCTAAGCAGAATACAGATTTAAACTTAAACTCGAGAAGGAGAATGCTCTCGGTTTACATGGCCCTGATTCACATTTTCATTAACAGCCCAAATCGAATCAAATTTCCTGTACCGCCATTTAATAGTATTTTTCTTTGCTGTTCGGACCCAAACGCTTGCGGGCTACATGACCCTGATTCACCCAAATTACATGAAGTTTTTCGTTGCAAAATTTAGGTTCAAAAACTGCTCTCTTGAACATTGATGCGATTTATCGGTGTATTTTGCGTGAGAGTTATTTAAAAGACCTATCTTGGGTACCTTGTGGGGTGAGATCGTTTTATTTGAAGCACCTTTAATCTCAGCGAAAAGGCATTAGGAGTGCTTCCGACGGTAAGATCTGGGTACTGTGATGAGGAGAACTTAGTGAGACGCAAAATGGAGAGAAAGTTCATGAACGAAAATTGTGCTAAGGCAGAAAGAAAACAGTTAGATAAGAGCCTAGTGTAGGGACCCCCATATAGAGGTATGCAAAAAATACTGATTTACCTACAAAGGTATCGCGTAGGGTGTTTAGATTAAATTGTCTCCTTTTGGGGTTAAAAAAAGCATGAGCCACACCCAAAGTTCCGAACGGCATTCCCGTCTCTTCAATATGGAAATCCCCCAGGCTATAAGAGATGAGATTCAGAGGACTAACGCATAGCCTGCATGGCAGGCGCAAAAAGGGAAGGGGGAGGGGGGGGAGAAAGGCGCGAAAGGGAAAAGTGAATGGAGCGCCTGCTCTTAAAGCCTATGTTTTTGCATAACGCTCACCAATTTTCTAGTGATCCGATTACGTTTACTGTCAATCAAGTGTCGTTACACTCGCCAATCAGGACGCAAGGCTGAACCCTCTGGCTACGCGGGAATTAATTTGATTTGCTTGGAACTCACCAGTCCCCTTCCTTTTTTCCCTCCTTTCCCTTCCCCCTATACCCTGCCCTTTTCGACGCCAGCTACACGGGCTAGACTTAGCACTACGCACGCAATGGCTTCTATGTACTGACAGTAGGCCATTCAATTGAAGTGAAGTGAAGGGACTGCGCCTTTATTTATAGGAAGGTCTCAATGTCTCTATGAGGTTAACCGTCAGTCGTCAAACGGCCTAAAACTTTACTGTCAGCCGTCAAAAAAGGTTATTTTTTTACCGTCAACCGTCAAAAATGCAGATTGAGATTAACCATAAAAGAGTTTCAAGTCAACTGATCCTCCATGGATTCTGGCACCCGAGGAATCTCCAAACTGGAAAAACCAGTTCCCACGTCCTCAAAAACACTCTTTCTAGTAATTACAATACCTTTCAACCAGCTTCTTTCTGAAAATATTTCGAAATTTCATAAATAAAAGGCCAAGACAAGCTCGATACAGGAACTGTGATATTTACTTTAACTTGTGGCCCTCTGTTAACATAAATCAATAAAATATTGAAAAAAAATTGCAGTGTCCATTTGAAAAGACAAAAATTTACATATATATGAAAGTTGTAGTAGACACAAGTGCAGTCGACGTCGATTTTTACAGCTGTTTTCATAGATCATATACCCTTTTCTTTCATGAAGAGTCAGAACTAGTGTCAGAATCGTGTCTCTCTTCTTCGTAAACACTCTAGGGTGTTTACGTCCTTGGCGAGTATGTGCACCAGCCTGAACAGGGGGTATGGTTTTCCGCTGAACAGGGTATGGTTTTCAAGGTCTTAAGTCTTAAACAGGATATACAATTTCACTATTAAAGGGTTTCCTTTTTTGACTGTGAAGACTTGCGATGAGCGGTCTATTTTTGCAATACCAATATTTTTTTCCCCTTTAATATCGATGTCCACGATTTTAGGGCGAAAATTACTTAATTCTGTATGCAAAACAGTGCAAATCAGGGTGAAATAGTAGTGTCTCCTTTCTTAAACAGAGTAGCGAAATGAGCAATTTGAAGGCCTCGGGGGGTCAGCAGCTCTACCCAGACTTCCCTTGAGTGCCCCCCCCCGGACCACAGGACCGTATAAATGATTTACAAGCAAGCAGAGGCCTTTTATAGGGGGGTTTACCTAAAGAAATTTTGGTTTATATCGAACCGGAAACGGTAATTGACACAATATAATGACACAATATAATCACACAATATAATGACAGCAAAAACTTGACATTGAGCCAGTTTGAGCACTCTAGCCAGCTAGAACGGTTCATCAGCAAATCCTTTTTTTCTGAGGTAGCTTCGGTCAGTACCAAAGACACTATTCGTCTCAAACAGCTAGCAGATGAAGAATATTCCTATTCTTTTGATCTTTGCTCTGTTTGGAACATTGGCCGAAGCGTGGCGCTGGCCTTGGCAGAAGCCGGACAGTAAGTCATTTCTTTTTCAACGCGCAATTTAAAATGTTGGTTTCTCTAGTGTGCTAGTTCATATCGATTAAACCTTTTAGTATCGTCATAACGATATTGTCCTGGCTTATACTGCTGCAGGCCAGATTAATAACAGTATGATCCAGTCATAGTTTATAGCTTGCTTCTTTGCGCGCGCGGAGGCTGGAGTAATCTAAGATTTCATCTGAAGGGTTTATATCAGAGAGTGGTAATTTTTGAAAATTCTCAGTTCTTATCGAAAACTAACTTGTACAGGCGTGTAGACGTTTCTGCGTTCACTGAATTGGAGTCTAGGAATTTGGCCTGGACTTTGGACCGTCTTGAAAATTCGAAGCCGCAAAAATAGGTCAAGCAACCTAAAAACTGTAAATTGTATTTGGGAAATCTTGGAAATCTGCCTGCAACGACCTCTAGTAAAGTCCAATGGTAAAAGTCAATGTAAGTTTATTAGCGAGTAGTGGGCTAGGGTATTAAATCCTATCCATGATCCGATACAATCCAGCGCCTCGCTGCTCAAACGTGGGTAGTTTAAATACGCGTTTCAATAAAAATTGATATTTCTTTAACCTAAAAGTCCGGTTTTTAAAAGAGCCATTGAGGAAAGCTTTACGCATTTTTAATAATACTCGTCGTACGATACTAATCCAACTTTAGGATGTCAAAAATTACGAAGCTTTTCCCTGGGGCTGGGTGTCACCTCGGTGCATGACTAAGCCTTTTTAACCAGACACGTCAGTTCGAAACCCAAAACCAAATTCAAACTTGATAGTACTCAACTATTTCTAGCCTTCCGATCCCAGGCATGGCGTTTTTAGGGGAGCTGGGATTTTGTTCTCTGGGGAGGGTAGCCTGTTCCAGGCTCCGAGATAGTCGGGTCCGCTAAATTGAGAAAGCGCCAACACGAAAATAAAACGGGAGGAAACTGGGGACGAAATACGAGCTCCCCTGTAAAAGCCTGCGTGGGAGGCTAAACTATTTCTCGCTTCAAATAAAAAGACTGCAAACACTCTGAAGAATACTAAAGGTAAGGACTCTTTAAATTTTTCAGTTTCTTCCCTGCTAACATAAGGTCACAAGCTGACATTGTCTTGAACAAACAAAACAAACTACTATTGCTGCTTCATTTGTTTTCCTAAAAAACAATCCCAAAGCAAAAGGCCTCTCAGAGAACGGCATTCCAAAATATCCAGCTACGTATTACTTTACCACGGTTGGCTCGAGTCCAGTAAGATCAACGGAAATTATCTTTGTGAGAGATTTTGCAGCGACTTGGTGAGGAAAAAAAAGCAGTTTGAACTGTAGCACGATGAAACTTGAGATCAGCCACGTCCGCAATAAACTAATAACCGAAACAAACATGATCGTTTTTTTTTTTATCTAAGTGGTTAGAAGTTGGCGGGTGACAATTTCTGATAAAAGAGGGCAAAAGATCACCAAGAGGAACGTGCTGTTGGAAATGTACTTATGGTCGCCTTTTCTTTTCAACGAGAACGGTTTCATTATGATTGGTCAACTCCGCTTTGGAAATATTAGGGCAACAAGGGTGGTGTGGTACACTATGGTTCCTCGTATTTTCGCGGGCTGACTCGCGGGCTTTCTTTTGCCTCTCCCCACTCTTCACGCGGTTTTCATTTTTCCGTGTCCCAGTCTCCAGAAGCTCCCAGTAACACGGACGATACTTCTTTCTCCTTTTTGGCTGAGAAAGCTGTAGGCCTAGATAACCAAAGAGGGTAGCCTTCCTGGATGTGAAGAAATATTTCAGCTTTGGCTCTGAGTTTACAAACGTCATCCTGCAGCTAAAATAAATGTATTTGCATTCGGCGAAGCTAAACGTAGTGGCAGTGACAGAGAATGTAAATACTTTCCTATTGGTATGAACGCACGTGAGCCGCTATGGCGTTAATTGACTCTATTGTTATTAGATATATAAGATTTTGACAGTTGTAATGTATTCATCTCACCTCTCGAGCTATCAACGTTTATTTTTATGTCGATCTTACTTTATTCATCTATCGATTGCCTTTAACCCCCAGAGGTTGTGCGACCGCATCGGTTGGGGAATACGTTCCCAATTTTTTCCCATTGGGTTTTTAGGTTTTCGTATCAGGCGGCTTACGTGAATAGTTTAGCCGGAGTGGCTTTATTTAGGAATATTTGTATACCATTCTTTAGTTATGATGTTGAACTTCGTATGTTATTTGGACGGCATTAAACACTCAGGCTCCACAGTTCGAGCTGCATACCCATTCCCGTCTCTTAGTCGTGAATATAAATAGGAATTGTCAAACTTTGCCCATTTTAGTCTATGTAATGAATGTGTTAGCGACGTTTATGATTTGAACATTTTGTTTTTTTCTTTGCAGCTCCGGAATGGTCAAAGTTGTCAGGTACATTTATTGAAAAGTTAAACTGCCATATCTGGAAGCCACCGACTTTTGCTTAGCGGTTTCGCGGTATGCCCCTACATTACGCATGCGCACAGCCATGTTGTCTATGCTGTGTTTAGCTTGTTACAGGCTTTCATTTAGTAGGGACGAGCAAAAAGACTTAAGGTGATGTTACAACATTGTTACAACATTGTTCCACCATTTCAACGCTGTGTTGCGCTAAAAATCGTCGTTGCGAATCGTCCCATGTAACATCACCTTTAAGACCAAGAGCCTGGAACGGGATAGGCTGTGACAGCCCTAGGTATTCCCTGGAAAATGTTTCGTCCTCGTCGTCGAGTTTATGTTTGCGGGCATTAATATGTTTTAGGCCCGACTCAGGCTCATTTTAGCCCGAGCCTGTCAAATTCTCCATTTTAGCCCACAAAATGGCCCACAATGCCTAACGACAAAGTGATAATAATACGTTTTTATGCTTGAATGCAGTTTGAATGAATGCTTTGGATATTTTTTTTCTTTTCAGTGACATTCGGGCGATTCAGCGGTCTGCCGATAACTGTAAACCAAGCCAAGGCTGAAGGCTGGTTATTGAACAAAGCATGTGAAGGTAAGAAATTACGAACAGGCTGTCAGTCATTTTATATAGCAGATGTTTTCTCGGCTAAGATCAGCGTTAAGTCGAGTTAAGGGCAAATAAAAGAGATCAGTGAGTTATCCACTTGAGCTCCAATATCTAAATACAAATTCTCTAAACTGATATCCATACATTTAAAACTTTTTTAATAAAATGACGAAAGCCAAATCCTTTTGTTTTATCCGAGATAAAAAAATAAACATTACATTAATAAATATAAATTTGATACAAAGGTAATGTAACTAAAAAATAAATAATAATTACAGTAAAAAATTAATTAATTAAAGTTAAAACATTATAATAATAATGAAATCAATAAGTAGATAAATGATTTAACGGTCGCCCTCTCTGTTTATTCCTCACGATGGCAGCATAGTTTGTGTCTTTTAAATGTACAAACGTTCACGGGCTCTACGTACCGATACTGTTTTAGTGTTGATAAGTTTGAGTGGGATAAGTTCGATGTCTTTAAGATGGTATCCGGGTTGATTGAAATGCTCTGGTACTGCGTGGTCAGTTTTGTTTTCTATGGCTCTGCGGTGTTCTCCAAATCTGTCTTTTGATATAAATTGAAGAAAATTGAAAGTTGATAAAGGATCGAATAATTTTCCTTTAGGTGGTCATTTTGTTAATCTCGAAATCATTTATCTTGATTTATGTGTTGATATTGATAGGCGAAAAGTGAGGTTGATCACTCTTGAACTAGCTTCTCACGTATTAACCGCGCCGCGCTTATCTGTGCAAAATTTGTGATCGGCGGTGAGAGGCAGAGTCACATGCAAGTCTCAGAGATGAAGAATTTGTCTTGTTGCTTTCAGTTGACTTGTGGTAAAGGGAAACAGGAATAAAACCATCAACAAAATTCCTTTCCGCGTCGTTTGGATACTGAAATATGGTGTAGGGGGCGAACACGAGACTTGGTCACCCAAGGAACTTGTTGTTACTGATTGGCAAATCAACCGTGTGTTATGTCCACGTCGTCTTCTTATCTCTTTTGAGGGTTTTTCTCCATATTTAGGAAAAACGCTTAGTTATATCTGCTTTCTGATGAAACATTTTGTTAACAGGGTCCAATTTTTTTGCTGGAAATCGTTATGTGCTGAAAGGTGACACTGCCGTGATGCTCTTGTTCGATCACATGGGCAAAATAGCTGGAATTCAAAATGGAGTAAGTTTTCACATCCTTTCAACCTTTAGTTATAGTTTCCGAGAGAGGTTAATGATGACGATGATTCAATGAGCCGAAACTCTTCCACATTTTGCATTTTGACATTTTGTTCAATTTTATTACTCTGTCTCCTTAGAAGAATAAATGTATTTAATAATAATATGATCATTAAGTGTTGGTAATGGTGATAATGGTGATGTCGAAGATGATGTTGATGATAAAACAATGATGATCAGGATGAGGACGATGATGATGACGATGACGATGACGATGACGATGACGATGATGATGATGATGATGATGATGATGATAGTGGTGGCTATGACGATGGCGACAGTAAAGGACGATTTTTATGTTTTTGGAGACAACAAATTGATAGAGAAAAACGTCTAAGCTAACACAATGTGTTCTCGCTGATGCTTTTTCGAAAGAATCAGCAAAAATAATAGATCTAGGCTAGAAAATGGTATTTTGTCAAAAATAGAATATTTTTATGTTCTTCAGCTTTTATATCCTGTTACTGATGCGTGCTGATACAATAGTGTGCTCTCATTTTCAGAATGTCTTGTATCTATTTAACTACTTTTTAGATCCCCAAATCAGCTGTTGGGGTTTTAAAGGCGCCCTGGATATCTGAGGATGATATGTACGTCATCACCGCCTACTTCACCGAGCCGCGGCTAATTTGCTCTGGGTCCAGACCCTCCTCTCAATATTTGGGCGACCAACTGTTACTGCAGACTGGGCCCCAGTCGTCCAATACTATGGCAATCCCTTTCAAACAGGAAGATTTAGAGCGAACAGAGTGGGTTCGTGGTGGATGCTTCCCTGCCATGGGTGAGTTAATGACATAACAGTCACGAAGTCACGATTCGTTTCATGACCTGCATGAATGTGTGAAAAGACCCCGCTTGTCCCGTCCCTCATAATTGACCCCTAGGCTGTTCACAGCTCTCTGTTCTCTTCTTCTTTCCCCTTCTTTTCTTTCTTTCTTTCTCTTTCTTTTCTTTTGCGAAATGTTGCGAACGTCAAAACGGAGTGCGAGCGGTTAGGAGGTGAAAACGTGATAATTAGAGGGACTCTGTGCTTCTTTGGAAAAAACAAATAACTTTGCCGTTGGCTTAATGACGATTAACTGTCACTACCCTGACTTTAGGGCCCATCATAAAGGCTCCAGGTCACATTTTGGGATTTGCAAAACGTGGGAGAGGTTTTTTATAATGTCACGTGAGCCTGGTCTCTAGACGTTCCCTCTTGCCCCATTGTCCGCACAAAGACTGGGAAAGGGTGAGCTCGTTCTTATCAGTGACGGCACTGCGGAAAAGTAGATCCCAGTTCTAACCGAGCTGGAACACCTACGGACTAGGCTGATGTCTAGGCTGCGAGCAAGCTCTCCCGGGGGTATGAGGGTGGGGGAGGGAATAGGGAAAGGAAAATGCTAGGAGGTTGTTAATTTCCATTCGGTGTCGTATTTCCAGTAAGATCTGATTGTTCAGATTGTGACAGCTAAACACCCGTTCTGGGGGCGGAATTCTAGCTTGTGGGACGCGAGTGCTGGCTCTCCTTACCCTCTTCCTTTCCCCCACCCCCTACCCCTGGGAGAGCTTGCTCGCAGGCTAGCTAATGTCACGTAAATGTGACTTACACCTTTAGCACAGAGCGGTGGATAGAGAAGAGTTTAGAAAAACTGCCAAACATATCATCCCTCAAGTGTGAACAAGAAAGAGGCTGTAGGCCACATACTTTGATTTAACCTTGCACCCCTAAGAAAAAAACAAGCGCTCCCTTGAAACCTGGGGAAACTTAGAGTTGCAGAAGCGTTTGTTTGTTAGTTGACGCATTGAGCTGGTTTAGCCTAAAGACTACTGAGTTAAGCCTTGTACTAACACGATTTTATCCAGTCATTTAATCCATTTGTTTTATTTAGGCCGTCATTACTGGTACAACATCTCCGCCAACATGGACTGCGATGACTTTTATCCGATGTTTCTTCTGTACAACAGAGATCGCTTGACTGGATTTGGATGGGTTGCCCAGGGCAACGCTGACAGTTCAAGATACGAACACCCTCCCCCCAACAGGCTCAAGGTAAGTCAAGTCCAAAAAAGAAACTCGATTCAGTTATACACTTATGAATTTTTAACTCCTTGTACATTGTGACGCTACTGCTCATGGGTTGCCAGGAATTCTTAATTTGCAGTTGGTTTGTATGCGTATGGGTCCACCGTCTATTCAGAGCACAGTGAACCCAACCTCTTTAGTCTAAAATGCCATCCTTCTCCTCTTCCTAAACACGGAGGGGGTGGGGGGGGGGGAGGCCTCTGGCTTTCTGCATATTCGGTTAACGGGTTTCTTTTTACGTCCCACTGGTTAGTGATTTTTTTTTATTCCCACTTAATTCCTTTGCAGTATGGCTTCTTCCAGGCAGGAACCATGCCCAAATGTATCCCTAAGATCAAGTCTCTGACAACCCAGCACGTTTATCTGGACAAGCGACCATATCTAAACCTCTGCTTTATCTAGATCTTTGTTACACGTAATGTGCAGATTAGCATTTACCTTTAGCGGGTTGACTCCTACGCAGACGCTCTTAGCGTTTCGTCACGCGTTCCTCTTGACGTTCGTCGTGGGGGATCACGTGACGAGCCAAAAGAACGTCTGCGTGGAAGGCTGTTAGTGGGCAGAGAAAACAGAGTGATGATTTAAATCGACAATGAAATAGGTCGTATTCATATCCACCATAAGTTGACCAGCGGGATAAATAGATTTGGTCCAATAATTAACGGCCATTTCAGTCAAGTTATAAATTGATGTCATAGATGAAGAACGCAGAACACTGCTCTTGTAATTCTAGTTCATTTTTATTTGAGTTATCTTCAATTATTTGATGCATGGGTCGCGCTATCTGCAATAAATTGAGTCATAATGTATGATGATTGATTACTAGTCAGTCACTATCCCTTACCTTACGCTTACGTCATACGTCTCACGCTCCGTCGACTAAATAAATGACTAAGATAACATGTTCCATTTTTTTGAAGTTATTATTCTGATATCGCTTAGGTAAGACCTTTCGCCTCGCAATGGCTCTAACTGTAGGGTCTCACCACCGCTGTAGTCAGATACTTTACTTTTTGTTGAGTATGCTGTGCAGGGCTAGAACCGTGATCAGAAACATACAACTCTATATCACAACTTAAAAAACTGTCGAATTCAGTATGCCTACATATGTCTATCCCATTGAACTTTATATTTCGCCCCCGCTGCTGTTGCAAATGGTGCGAGAGAGTGGCAAAAATGTACCAAAAAAGTGATGAGATACAGTGCTGTTGCTTTCCTGAGATTGAACCTTACTTTTCGGACGTTCACGTCGCCATTATCTTAATCTTTAGTCTCAGTGTCAGCCTGCACAAGGTCTTGACTTTACTCTTTTCCATTCTCCCGTAGTCTCAGCTTGATCGTCGTCGTTGTCCTTGGCTTTGTGATTTTAGTCAACATCAAGTTCGGATTCTCTGGTTACACGGATCCATTTAAAACTTTTCTACACCTACACATTTAGTTTATATTTCCCGAATGTGGCCAATTAAAGATGACATACGTTAAGAACAGTACTGTCCCCATTACGTATTGGAAATATGTTTTTCAGTTTATTGTTAAAAGACTATTTCGCGCGTCATTTCTTCAACGTTATATCACCACGGGTATGCTTCTCTCTACTAGACTGTAAAGGACCTTCATTTTTAGAGTCGGATTCACTTTGAATCTTTAGGCATTCATCGAATGACTGCTCAGAATCATATGATTTAGGAGAATCTTCACTGATTAGTTCTTTCTCATTAAATGCAATAGAAGTAAGACCTGAGCTCATCATTTCCAGGTGAATGCTTATCTTTCTTCGTTTCATTGTGAGAACTCCGCATTGCCAGGCCTCGTCTCTCATTCGCTTTAAATCACTACCGTGGCAGCTGACTTTTAGAACATCATTTTCATCACTTTCGTTGTCATCATCCGATAACGAATCAATATATGCAACAAAGAAACTATCATCACCGTTGAATGCAGTTTTTTCTTTTCCCATGTTAGCATCAGTCAAAGTGTCCTTTTCAGCGACCATGTTACTACAGTATCTCAAATCGACCGCTAAAGGCCATGACAAAACAGATACGAAAAAGAAAGCGTGGTATGCTTGCCTGGACAAAAAGGGAATTTTTTGTTTTTTTTCAGCAGATTTATCTCATATTTATACAAGAAAATAAGGTAAATATTAGGTGAGGTTGTCATAACAACGGCCTGATTTAAGCCTTTTATTATAGCCGACTTTCCAAAATATTTATCATAGTTACCGGAGCAACCGATCAGGAACAATTAGGCGACATGATGGACCTTTTCCACGGTTTATTATTATTATTATTATTCAAGTGTGATGAAATTAGAAATTGATGTTACGTACAACTAAGTAATGCTCAGGAAAAAAATCGGATCCCTCAGCAGGAATCGAACCCAGGACCTTCCAGATACCGGTATGACGCTCCAACCACTGAGCTATGGGCGACTCACTTGGCGAGCAGGTCGCGGTTTTTAGGGTGGCCACAGAACTTCTTATCTCGCGACTATGCTGGACTAAAGCAAAGCAACACACTGGCTTACTTGCATCACGCAAACACCTTAAGAAAGTGCTGTTTACACTTTGAACCCAACCAACCACCAAAGTGTGATGAAATTGGAAATCGATATCACGTACAACTAAGAAATGCTCAGCCAAAAAATCCGAGCCCCCAGCGGGAATCGAACATGCTGGCCATGTGAGTCGTCCAAAGCTCAGTGGTTAGGGCGTCCTATCGCCATCTGGAAGGTCCTGAGTTCGATTCCTGCTGGAGGCTCGGTTTTTTTCTGAGCATTTCTTAGTTGTACGTAATATCTATTTCTAATTATTGTTATTATTATTATTATTATTATTATTATTATAATAATAATAATCATTATAATCATTATATCCAAAATTATCCGTTGAAACCACTCAAAAAACACCTTAACGTTAGTAAACTTGCCAAGTTTGAGAGTGATACCTCTAAACGAGCCCTGGGCACTAGGTTGACTGTTTTGGTAAGTTTTTGTGTCCTCGAATAGCCTCAAAAAAGCCATTTGGCATTTTTTTTCTCTCTCTCTTTTTTAAAATGAATAACAAACAGCTATGGAACGTGCTTCTTAACAAAATATTTTTAGTGAGATTCTCCAGCTCAAAGCGTACATCAATAGAGAGGTGTGACGTCACGTTACCATGGTAGTAAAATTTCTGGATCTCAACGATCCATCTTGACTGAGACGGCTATTTGCATTCTCGAACGAACGATCAGGAAGAAAAGTGTGGGCTACCGTTTTGTTCCTGCGGGCTATCATGCACAAGAAAGTCATACATGTCAATTTTTTCGTCTTTTTCTGCCATATTTGCAGGATCACGGTTTTGATATGCAGAAATTTTGCTACCATGGCAACGTGACAGCTTCTCAACTCTTTAATGGATCGTACATAATGCTCTTCCCACCGGCCTTCCCACCCAGTCTCACTCGACGGATTGTTTTCTAACCGGCTTTGGTCAGTCTTAAAATTGAAGGCAAGGTTGATCGGACAGCTAAGGTTTACAAATTTATTTGCCTAATATTTCGACTAGACAAAACTAGTCTTCACCAGGAGCTGGAAAAGCTAAGTGAGAATGGAATAAAAGGTTACAGTATATAAAATAATACAAAAATAAAAAAATAAAATGTGATTGGTGGAGGAATACAGCAGACAAAAACTTGTATAAAGAGGTTAATCCAAAAAAATATATGTCAACAGATTAAATTTCATCTCGTCTGTTCATCCCATAGGGTTTAAGTGTTTTGCCTTTAGATATTAAAGTTGACGAAGACAGTTTTGCTCAGTATGACATCTAAGTTACATTCGTTTTGAAAACCACGATTATCCTTTTTATTAGTTATTAGAAATAGAAATATGTTCAACTCCAACGATGGGTGTTAAAATATCGACGGTCAGTTATTAGTTTGAAATGTCAGCCGTCTTTTTGACATTTTAGACTAATCAGTTATCGGCTATCTGTAATATCTTACGTCCGTATCTATAGCGTGTTTTACCCTGTAGTATGAAATCATCCAGGGCTATGCTAAGCAGAAGCGAACTAATTAACCATTAAAAGACATTTGCTAAAAATTGTTTTTAAACCAACATGCTTATTTCCTTTTCGCGGTAATTCATTATCCCTTAGCCAAATAATAATTGAAAATTTGTCTCACGTTCGTGTTCAATCAACGCTTGACAACCGTGAGAGAGTATTTTGTGAATTGAATTTACTACGCAATAGCTTTTTTGTCAAGCAGAAGAATATTTCTCTGAAAGAGGCGTTTCTAAGCGACGCTAGAACGCGAACGTGCCTTTTTTTCTGTTCAGGCGGAGAGATATGAAGCATATGACTAGGTCAGGCAAATTTGAGGTCATTTTTATGTCGCTTGTGAAGAACTAGGGAGTAGCGTTTAAAACACTAAACCGCTTTGAGAATTGTAGATTGAAAATTAAAAAAGAAACAACAGGAAAGCAAGGCGCAAAAACTGATCCATAAAAATTGATGTATATCCTTTGAAAACACGGTTTGCCTGCAGGCAAGCTCTTTATCGCGCGGTGACCCTTCTCAAAAGCCCAGAGAGCCTTTCAGTCTCAGTTGAAATTGTAAACTGTAAAGCTCAAATCAATATTTTCATTATTTTTGTCCGTGTTTATCAATGAAAAAATTTTCAACACCGTTTTGTTAAATACTTTTTGAACTGGTACGAATCAGTTAATAAACAAAGAAAGACAGAAACTCCCCAACTTCCTGATTGAGAACGTTTAATTGGTACGATCTTGCATTAATTGGACCGTAGGGGTTCAGTAATAAAGCAAGACTTAAGTGATTATCTATGTGATAAAAGTGTGCATATCATTAAGAAATCGCTAAATGTTTTTGTTCCTTTTTCCGCAATTTACGAGCTTATTTTGACAAGTTTCTTTAAAAGTTCCTCGTTTCTTAATTTCTCTATGCTCTTTTGCTTGCTAAGAAGTCTGTCTTGTTTTCGAAGTTCTTGGATACATTCTACTGCTGACTTAAGAATGGTTATTTTAGCCACTTTTTCTCTCTCGTCAATTTCTGGAATACATTTTCGAAGCTTTTCGTATTTAGAATTCATTTCGCTGCGTCGTTTTCTTTCAAGTCTGTTCCTAAAACGCAGAACATCACAGCGACTCGCCTTGGGTCCTCCATCGCTAGATTTTCGGTTATGATCCTTTTCCTCTTCATCAGCGACCGCACTGCAGTGATCTTCAGAAAAGGAGACTTCCTTTTTACACACGGAATTACTATCTTTCCAATAACAATCCGCGACATGTATATTTTGAGTGTCTACTGAGACATCATCGTTGCAACAAAGACTTTCCTCAAAGTCGAAATCGTCATGTTTTTCTTTTTTGAAGTTTATCTTTTTATCATTAGCTCGATCCTCTTCCACGCTCGGGAATTCAAACACTGTTGTGGTTATTGAGTTTTCCAAGTGCTCTAGTGTTGCCGCTGGGGTGAAATTTTCAGGTAAATAAATTGACAGGTCCTCTGATGGTCTTTTTCCAAAGGGACTCAAGATCATCAGCGCCAACGGACTCATCGGCGCGGCTAAAAAATTCGCTGGACTTTTCGAAAGGGGTGAAAACGGAAACGTTGGTGTCCTTAATGGTTCTGTTGTAGTACATGATGCTATAGCAAGAAGCGGCGTTTTACGAGCGTACGAAAGACCTTCAGCTTGCTCAGTTAATTCTCGAGGATATTGAGTGTCAACGTTTATAATAGGTTTCCTTTTAGCGCGGTTTTCGCAACATCTGACGGCACACGAATCGCGCGAAAATGGACTAGTAGAAACGTCCTCGAAAACCGGTTCGTTTTGAGGAACTACTTGTAGATTATCCTTCTCGTACTTCTTTGACAATGAGCGTAGAACTTTGTCTTGCAACTGTGACAACGTAACTTGGTTACATTTGTACATCTCGTTTGTCTTATCATCACGAGACCAGTCGGAAGACATTGCGTTCATCATTTGAAAACAAAACATCGAATCTTCACTATCCATGAGTCGTCACGTTCTAATAACTTTAGGGCACAGTTCAGTATGATAAGATGAACTTCAACCGGTACGCTGATAAACGTAATGTAGATTCACTTAGCGGGCTCGATCTTTCCAAAGGTTGTACCAAATTGAATTTTGTTCCCTGTTTCGTTGTGTATAAATAAGTCCAAGGTCGCAATATGTTTACTAAGCGATTCGCTTAAGAACAATACACTACCTGCCATATCGGTGGGGCAGGAATGTAAACCTCTACGTCACTGCTGTTTTTCAACTTGTCTATCTCATACATTTGAAATACTCTGCGCTGCCGCTCAACTGAACATTGTATCTCCGGAAGTTTAAATTAACGTTACGTTAGCCAACGAAATTGTAAAGAAAACCAAAATAATTGGCTTGATATGTCTTTTTAAGTCCAGAAACAAAAGAGAAAGACACTTTTCCGGCGAATTAAAATATTTTCTAGAAGAATTTACATTTTTTACGTCTATGACACAAATGTTTACTTCCAAGCACCTGTTCAAAAAGGATTATTCTGGAGCCTTAGTTGCTATAGAAACGTCGGAATACTAAAAAGCAGTTCTCTAATTCGAATTGTAAAACAGGCTTTATACCATTATGGTGGCCTGAATTCAACTGAGAGAAGAGAGATTTACCAAGGCAAGTATTTTAATTCAACACTGGACTCATTTTAAAAGTCAAGACAGTAATTCTTGAATCGAATCGAACTGTCTAGTGACCTTAATAATTAATGACTCCAAAATCGCCGCAAAACCGCACAAAATTAAAAATAACAAATAATTCATTGTGCTCAGAAGTGCCTCGGATGACTCATTATTTTATGATGTCAAGAAAGTGTCAACTCTCTTTCCTGAATTTCTTTCACTTTCTTTCATCCTAGTAAAGAGAATTTGGTGTTAAATCAAGGTAGTACCCCTTAATTAAGTCATACCTGCGTTGGCTGAGTTTTTAATTTTTAGTAACGACTGCCTAGTAAAAGAAGTTTAGAGTAAATGCAAAACGATACATTGATCCCAACTGAGAATTTTTCCTTAACCCTTTCACTGCCAAATGTGTTCAAAGGCAAATTTCGACCAAATTCATTTTGTAACATTTTGACAAACAAATATCACCATGATATTTGAATGGTCATTGATCCCAGACTGAAAAGAATTTCAAACACTCGTTAAATAAAATAATAACGTATTAGCTGAGTTGATACGGAAAAGAGTTCGAAGAGGGTTTCGGTAAGATTACCTCCGATCGTCCAGCCAGCTCAAACCTAGCCCAACAATCTTTGAAAACTCGGAATATTTTCAACCGTAAACGACCAAACCATCTGATCTCTCTTTCTCTTTTTCAACCTCTATCGTTATTCCCTATTGACTGTGGAAAGTCTGCTTTGATTTAAAAATGTCAGTTAACCAAGAGGAATTTACCGCAAAGTTCACTCAGTTGAAATATGATCTTTAGTGTCTGCATTTGCCGTAACCTGACTAAAGTATATTCTCATCTCTATTAACGGACATCTTTGGGGCCCATCACGGGCTAGGTGTCCGTCTAAGAGTGATGTCCGTTTTATAGAAAGTCAAATAAAGGCAGTAAATATAGGCAGGGACCAACTCTAGTTGTCCGTTTGACCGGGGTGTCTGTCTTAAAGGTGTCCAATTTAGAGAGAGTCGACTGTATTCACCAGAAAATGTGAACAAGTAATCAGCAATTGAGTAAAAGTTTGATTCAATTGGCTACAATTTGATAGTAATTATGGTAATTGGTGTTAATCTGCTGACAGAATCGACAGATTTTCGAAGCCTCTAGTTTCACTGATTTGCTTCTTAACCAGTGCAACTGGCAACGCTTCACTGGAGTAAGCCCTTGGACGTTTTTTTACTTAGACGCGGAGTCATTAGTGTACGTAAGCACTGGAGTTGAGAATGAAGGAAGAGCGAAAACCAAATCTGACCACTGTGCATGCTGTCTTCAGCCAACACTACATGTGGGCTTGACAGAGGCGGAAACAGTGGGTGACTAAGCAATATAGGAGCAGGTGCGACTAGCCCTTGCAGTTTAAATAATTAGATCTTATTTACTTGTCAAATACGTTTTTTATTAAAGACAGAGTTAGAGAAACTATGGTCACTTGGTATGCGATGCTTATTCACGTAGTTTACATCAATTAACGTTACTTTTCCACAGCCTACATGCCAGACTGAGATTTCACTTACGTAAGATTTCAGTCTTTTCCCGCAAAGTTCGTCTCACAGTTCCAGTATGGAATTGAATTTCTCGTTCCAACTCTCTTTGCTTGGCGGTTCGCTCAGTAGCCTCATCTTATCTCGTACCAAGTTTTGGCACGGCAGAGAGAAAAGGAGATCCCTCTTTAAAAGCGTAAAACAGAGTATCTGGGTACGCGGATTATGGTCTCTTCCTCCGTTGCTGTAATCCTACTCTGGTATTGATATGTCTAAAATATTATACACTTCAACACCCCTCTCGTAAATATTATCAGAGAATGCAGGGAAAAAGAAAACTAAAGCTAAAAGAGACATGTATTGAAGTACCTCTCTACTTACTAACTTACACCGGCAATATCAGGTTGGAATCACATCGGAATCGGTTTGAAGAGCCGAGCTTGTCAGACCAAGCCAGTTTTTTTTTTCTCAACGGTTTAGCGTAGCGCAAGAATAACGTAAGAGAAATGCGTAACTAAGAGTCTAAAGCGCGTCTCTCTCGTCTCTCTTGCTCTCTGTTTTCAGCCTCTCTGTTTTTTGTTTGACTGTTCCTCGCGCCACTGGGGTTAATGTTTAGGACAAAAAATTCCTAAAATACCTACACTATTTAGGACAATACCCTCAATTTTCTTACCCTGATTAACACATAGGTCAAAATGTACGCCGCCTTGTTTTTAATGCCATTTGTTGGCAATTCCGATAGAGAAAATTCACGTTATGGTCATTACTTTTGTATACTTGGAGTACAAACAAAATTCCTCGAGCAATTCAAATCCGTTATGCCCTGACCAACAATATCTGCATATCGAGAGGTGAAACACCAATTGAATCCAACCCCGTGTAATTCCAGCCCCCACCATTTCACCCCGCTTTTGTTCAACTAGCTCGTGAACAATATCATTATTTTTGCACCGTTCCCCCATTTCCACGAAACTGTTTTATTTGTATCTATTTTGTTTGTTTGTTTGTTTGTTTGTTTGGTTTTGGCTCACATAACCCACTGAGCAATAAGTATGAAAATAAAATTTTTCGCCAAACAGAAACAAAACTTAGATTTTGACAATTCAAACTGTCAAAGTTTTGATCAAGATTCATCCGATTTCTTCTTCCGCCGTGTGTTCTTCTAAGTGTAAAACGTTTGACAGTTCGGACTGTCGAAATAATTGTGGGTGTTTGATGAAAATAATGATTCAATTTCCATCAATACCCCAACAGAAGAATCTTCATTCCCTCGTAAGCATGTACGCGAACTCGAGATTTTTGAATTGAGGTGTTCCCCCGAGGTACTTTTACGATGAAAATGAAAAAAACATTGGCTAATGAAACTCAAAAATGAATATCAAATAGCGAGTACGTGTTTGTTCGTCTAATCTATTAGGCAATCGAAACAATCTTCCTTTGAACATATAGAGATATTTATTTGTATTAAAATTAGTCGTTACGCCCAAGGGATTCCATCAGTGATAAAAACAGCTTGTTGTTTTCGAGAGTGATGCTACTTTAAACTCCAACTTAACCCACACCCAGATCCAGGATCTGTCAAAGCTAAAATGATCATCGGTGGTCCTCTTTCGCTTCTTTTTGTCTTGGTTTTTCTGTCAAACCTTTCCACAGGTAAGTAAAACGGCATTTATCGATCACTTTTTAAGTTAGCAACTGATAATTTGATTGCCAGATTATCCCAAAATTCTACCCAACGTTTAGCCGAATTGGTAGAGATGCCGATAAATTTTGCGATCGGCTTGAAATTTAGTAGCTCAGGTTCTGACTGCGTAGTAATCAAGGCCAATTTAACTGGAAAAACGATAATATAATAGAAAGCACATTATATCAGCCAATTTTCCAGGATATAAAAATTCTTAGTTCTGATAAAATTCTGTCTAAAATCTAATCTGTCCTGGTACTGAATATATTTGAGCCCAAAGCTGAATAAAATGTGATTTCAATTACACTCACGATAGCTCGGTTTAGTTACGCTTCTTGATTTATGAAGAAAAAGTAATCAGTTGTGGCAATTTTTCAGTCATTTCCGAGATCGATTTCAATGGCTTTGCATGCTTCTATTGTCGATCATTGTCTGTTTTATCCACCTCTGATTGGTTAATTTCATGCCTTGGTTCAGTTTTGATTTGCCAATGAGTGGTTTCTGGTTTATGAGTCCAACTTCACTTGGTAATTGTATCCTGCTATCAGAGTCGCTTATCAAGGAAGATCGAAGGAGACTCTTCTGTTCGCAGGGTACAGTGATTGAAAAATCTGGCCTACATTTCAGGTGATGGTTTGTGTTCTAAGAATGAATTCTCGTGTGACGTCAGTAAATGCATTAGCAAAGGACAACTTTGTGACGGTCAATTGAATTGCAAGGATCGCTCCGATGAACTCAATTGTGGTAAGTATGTTTAAACCTCAGTCAAACCTCTTCAACCAGGGTTAGAGATCCCTCCGTATGTATTCCTGACATCTGTCTACTGTATTAGCGATGACAAACTTCACCTGAAGCATTCCCTACGTCTGTACTAATTCTGAGTTCGGTGTAATAATTTTTCGCTGCTCTATGTTTAATATATAAGCAACTAGAAGTTAACTAACTAAACATTTCATCTTGAAAGTAAAAAAGTACCTATTAAATTGTTTGAAAACCAAAACTGCGGAATCGTCGGACGCGAAGAATGAAAAAGAAAAGATTCTTTTATCGCTACTATTTTTATCGATAAAAACTAAATTGAACAAGAGATCTCACACTTCCTTGCCCATATTTTCACTTGACGGTAAGCGAATTAAATCCCTCCAACATACGGATTGAAAAGTGAAAAAATACATCCTTTGATCGTTGTGGAATATTACCCACATCAAAACATAAACAAGTTAAAATTCTTTACTTCAGGCTACATACGTAAGACCCAGGGGCGGATCTAGGGGGAGGGTGCAGGGGGAGCGCACCCCCCCTTCCTTCTGAGATGACCTGCGGTTTTCTAATACAACTGGTATTCTGCAAAAAAAAAAACTATGTGGTTTATTGGTGTTGAAGTAGAGCAAGAGACTAGTGCACCCTCTCCTAAAAAAATCCTGGATCCGCCCCTGAGACCGGCCAAAATACGTCTACTAACTTGAGTATTCGAACGTCTCTTTTAGCAATGATAGTCGTCAGAGCTTTTCCCTTAGTAAATTCTTGAAACGAGATTGATCATGTGGTTGTACTAAATAAGGTGTTGTATATGTTTGGCTAAAAGTGTTAGTTTTAAGCAACCCTCCCTTCCCCTCCAAATCGTCTACTTCAAATGCAAATTTAAAAAAATCGACTATATGCATGGCTTGCCTTATAAGCAGACTTGGAGATCCACTTTTTTTATCCGCAATAAAAGTTGGTTGGCTCACCCTCGTTCCTAGCGTCTCTAAACCCAGGCCTGGCTGGAGATAGGGACTGTTAAGTTCTGTCGCGTTCTCCATGTTCTCATCTTTTCTCTACTCTTTAGTCTACCCCTAATCGCCTTAGCTTCATTTTCTACCCCCATATCAAAACCTTACTTAATAACCGAATATTCTGTCTTTTGCACCACAGATATAACAACGCAAAATACCACCAATAGTAACAAACTAGTTAACGGAACTTCATCGCCTATATCAGTCAGTAAGTACAATACTACATCGCCGTCCAGTCAGCCTAGCAATTCCAAGAACACCGTTTCACCTACCCCAACCAGATGGGAAAAGGCAAAGAAATTTCTAAAGAAAAAGGTTTATTCTAAGAATGGAACCAAACAAAGAAAAAGCCGTCGTCCTCTTTATCACCACAAACTCTCAAAGTGGACCAAAAAACAGACCTCAACAACGGCATCAGATACGACACCTTCAGTGGAAACATCTGTCACGCACTGTTCAGTCACGGAATGTGATCATTGGAGACCTTGTTGGCGTGACGTGAAAAGGTCACGCAAGTGTGTGTGTGATGAGGCGGACTGCATTGTATATTGGAATGCAAGTAGTCGTTTAGGAAGCGAGGACAAGATGAATATGAAAGGTAGGAAAAGAAATCGTTAACAACAGAAAAATAAGTTTCCCATTCCTTGTTTTTTCCCGCGGAGATTAACTTGGAACTGAACTTAAAACAAGTCAGCCTAATGTCCTTATCTTTACTTTCCAAAGAACGACAAAATCACTCTAAACTCTTTTTGATAAACTAATTCGATGCTGAATCCCCTTTTTCTTTTTTAAATTCCTCGCGCGCCACCGTATTGGAATTTGAAACGTCAGTTATTTTCTGGCAGGCCAAAAAAAAAGCGTTTGTTGACGGATGACAACAGTAACCTGCGTAGGAAGCGCCAGTTTTTGTAGGGCGTGTTCGTATTCCCCTCGTGATTATGCACCTCGCGCGCTCTGTGAAAAATGAAAAAACCCGGCCCCTACTATCACCCAGGCTATGACAACAGCGGTAACCGAATGGCGTTATTATATACTCAAAATGGCAGCAAGCTGAAAACGACCGATCTTGTTTCCCAGCTAGTTAATATCTACTTTTTTATCTTTTCCGAAAATAAAATTTGAATTTCAGAATTCAATTTTTACAAGTTTACTTCAATTTGACATTGGAGGTTCCCTTTCGTGATCGATGCAAGACTGGCTAGTTTTCCTGTTTAAAAAGTGGGCCGAAAGAAGGGCACATCATTACTCCTGCCTTACGGACACCCCGATAAAACGGACAGTAGCTAAATCCCGGGCAAAAACAAATTTCAGACGTTTGACTGAAATAAACTCTCAATATTACGGACTCGACGGTGTCCGCAATAAAGAGAGTTGACTGTATTTCCTATACATGATCCTTCCGTTTGACAGTTACCCCTAAAGACATTAAGACATCCCGTTATTTAATTACCCTTTAAATTTAAATAAATTTAATTACTATTCGTTCAAAATATTTACCCAATTCTGATTGGCTAAAAGCACGCGCATAATTCACCATAACCAGTTACTGATGACCAAATTTGGAAGAATTGTGTGTTTAACGAGGAAATGACGTCAAAAATGCAGCCTTCTACAGGTTAATGCACAGTTAACCGAGAAGACCTGGAGACGAGGTTGGGTTGTTTTGATTGTGAACTTGAAAAATAGCAGACATTTCACTCGTTTCAAGAGTAAGAACTAGGCGAAAAAATACCTAAAAACATGGAAAGAACAGCAAGAAGACAACTCGAAGGGCGACATCTGCTATTTGGAGAATATTTGCGGAGCTGAACAACCCTAAACTTGCATTATCGAAGATGAACTCAACATCGATGGATCGATGGAGGTAAGCATGTTTTAGCCATGTTTTTAAACTAGGAATTATTTTGAATGAATAATAAAACAATTATTAAATTCGGCTTTCGTATCATATGAAGAATTATGGAGATCTCGGAGGGTGTTAATCCGCCTCGGCTTACGGCCTAGACGGATAACACCCTCCTCGATCTCCATAATCTTTCATAAGATACTCAGCCTTGTTAATTATTTATTCATCTATCTATGTATTTTTGTTCATCTTCCAGATGTTTTTGAATGGTTAGCCATATCTCTCTCTTCCTTCGGGCTTGTCTTAGCGACCATCATCCTCTTGCTGAAGCGAAGAAGATTACGTCATAACGACACGAGACCGCTGCAGGTTCGTACTGTCATATGTTATCATAATGGACAGCATGACGTGGCACGCATGTGTCACGGGACAGCAGCTGAAATCCACCCCTTGTGCGAGAATGACTCACGCACAAGCCTCATGGTGCGTGACCAAGGACAAACCGAACCTTTCCGTTTTGAATTTCAGTAATCACCTGGGAAATGATAGGTGTTGCTATGACAACTCAGTCAGCAACGAATATCCTATTTGCGTCTAAACTGCTTACTGTTTACGGACCAAGCTCAATGGCAAGCCGATGTGATCCCCTCGATGCGGTTATGATAAGCCTACGACTCAAGCTGTACTCGGTAAAGTGCATGTGAATTAACTTACGACACTGAGTATAAGCCGGCTTACGTTAATGGAAGTTGGGAAGGGTTTCGCAAGCACATCGCATTTGACACGTACAGTAGTTCCAGTAGTCTGGGTGATAAATCGATTTATCACGACTCATGATCTGATTCCGGAGTTTCAAGATGGTAACTACTAACAATATAGTAAAGTGAATTTAGAATTAGGAAGGGAACTTGTTATTGACATGAGTATGAAGTAGAAGAATACAAGAGAAGAGCAGATATCTCTGGGAGTAGCTTTTGATAGAAAAATTATAGTTAGTATGAGTTAAAAATGATATTCAAATTAATAAAAAAAAATGCGTGCATTCCACTCTTGGCTCACGTTGTTTCACGTTGTTTACTCTTTTTTCTTTTCCTCTTTTTTTGTGGTTTTTTCTTTTGTTTTGTCTCTGTCTGACATGAAAACTACACGTCAGCTGATGATTATTTGCCTTTGACACAATGGCCCAAAGTATGTAATTAAGACGGCCTTGAAGCAGCTGAACCAACCAATTAAAATTCTTCCAGTTAATGAACGAGGAAAAATGACCTGCTCACAGACGTCTGAGTAACTCCTTTACTTCACGCGAGCGAGGCAGCTAAGAAAAAAAACTGATTTTATGAAAACCAGAGTCTTTATCTTCCCCTGGTGAAAATAGACTATCTACTACGCCTCCCCTAACCCAACATTTGTGGAAAGTGCACAGGTGCACCGGTGATATACACTCTGTGTGTCTTCTCACTAATTGTTATATAGTGGCAGTAACTTAGGGCCTGTTTACATGGAGTGGGGGACCCCGGTCTAGTCGGGTTGGTTTCTTTTGTTTTCACGCTCTGGGGGACACAAAACAAAAAGTTCTTACCGGGGTCCCCACCCATGTAAACAGGGCTCCCCGTCTGGTAAGGTTTCTTTTGTTTTCACGCTCTGGGGACACAAAACAAAAGAAACCTATCCATCCCGGGGTCCCCACTCCATATAAACAGGGTTTGGTTGTCGGTAGTTCTTACGTCAAGAAAATTTGGTAATCTATCCATCCGACCGTACGACCGAACGCTGACCGTACAGACCCTGGGGGAGGGGGAAGGGAGTCAGAAGTCAGCCCGTCGGGGTAGGAGTTTCTTGAAGCTAAGGTGAAATTTTGCATTTCGAGCACCCGACTCGTTTCGGTGGTAAATCACATGGCCGCCGGACCGTTAGATAGAAAAAAACAACAACAAAAGACGAGTCTTTCTTTCCACTAAATATTAATGTCTACATTGACTTGGATGACAGGGAAAGAGCTAGAGCGAGGAAATAAATAACAATGGAGACAAATTTCGTTGGAAGAAAAACATGAAAATAATATAGCGGCGGTGAGAAAATGACCGACATTGAAAAAACAGAGTGAACAGTAACACAAACATTTCCTCCATAAAACGTTTAAATTAAATAGGAAGTTTAAAGTGGTTTTACGTTTTAGTCGTGCAAAACAACGGCAAGGAAATGTAGAAAAAAGTGTGCTGCACGTAAAAAGTTGTTTTTGTTGTTTGCTAATTAGAAAAAAAAGTGTGCTGCACCTGCAAAGTTTGTTTTTTTGCTAATTAGAAAAAAACGTGTGCTGCACGTGCAAAGTTTGTTTTTAGCTTATTAGATCTATTGTTGTTGTTTTTTACCGTTCTCGTTGTTTTCACCTTGTTTATAGTATTACTCGATTTTATATTTTCTATGAGGAAACTATAAATATTAAAGAGAGCTTTTCTTTTAGCCCTGCGGCTAAATCTATATATTAGAAGTTACTAGTTATCGTGGTAGTTACTTGGTTACTGTAAGTAGTTACAAGTACGCTTTTCCATTTTTGAGGAAAAATATAATAGTAACGAATTGGTAAATGGGAGGATAAACAATAACACTGATAAAAACAGCTGCTGATATTCATATTGATAAAAGTGTTTGATTTTGATTTCTCAATCTTACAAGTCCATCAGTTATTGCACCCCCTTACCTGGGTGTGCATCTTACATGACGTAATAAAGGGGAGAAGTCGTTACGTCACATTGCCATGGTAGCAAAATTTTTTGATGACAACAAACCGAAAATTTACTTAAAAAGAGAATTCGCACTGTTTTAAACTTCATCGATCTTATTCAATTTCATTTAATTAGTCAAAAGGTAGCGAACTTTTCTGGGTTAAATCCGAAAGGATCGTATCTAAGTCATGACTGAAGAAAACAAAAGTTTTTGTGTTGTATTCAACTACTCCATGAAGCGGGTGCGTGAAATTAGGAAGTTTCATGTCGCAGTCATGCAACGACGGCTAAAAAGCGTGATGCACGTGCAAAGTTGTTGTTTTGCTAATATAAACCTACAAAGATGTGCCGGCAGAGGCTCGGGACATTATGGGCAGTCTTACATCAAGCACTACCTGGATTTTTACGCTGTTCTGGTTGCCGTCGTCGTCGGGTAAGGTGACGTCACATTTCTCTTCTCTATTTGAACCAATCAACGTCAAGTTTATCTGGCAATGCCCGCAGTCCTATTAGCCAGCAAGCTGTCTTCAAAATCATAAACCGATATTCCTGCGCAGGAAGATTTAAAAATGGCGGGATCAGGAGAGGTCGAAGAAGATTATTACCCTGTTTTGAACGACCGAAAAGAGGTAAAAATAGCCTTTCAGAGGGAAAGAAAAAGAGAATTATTTTATCAATCATGTAGAGTGCATTTTGTTGCATTTCAGGCCAACGAAAATGAGCTTAGAGCTGCTTACAGATGCACATGTCAGCATGTGCGGGATAGACGTACAAACATCAAGATCCCGCGATAAAGGTAAGGTTCAAAAAGCTAAGACCCTGTTCGCATTAAGCCCAATTTTGTTTGTTTTGCAAAAAAATTGTCAACAGGGAGCCATTCCAGTGCAGACGATTATTTCTCCCGCCAAAATTTTCTCAACTGTCACCAAAGTTCAAAGAACTGAACCGAACCTTCTGCCTCAGCTTGTTTTGGACAGGGAACTTAAGGATCCAGTATTTTACTACAAATGCCTCTTTGGCTCTACTGACATTAATGTTCTTGAACATACATCGTTTATTTCTCGTGGCCGTACCAGACAAAGTAATTCTTTCAATCTTCAAACTCCTCTTTGCAGAACCAGTACTTTTAATTGAAGCTTCCTATTTTAATCGTATTAAGCTTACTTAGTTATGGAATTGTGTCTGTTCTCTTAAGGCACCTAGTAGTTTCTCTAGTCTACAATTTTTTAAGCAGTTTTTTTTTTTATAAAACTGTGTTCACCACTGTGGTTAATACCTGTGACGCGGAAAGATCTTGCTCATGGACGTTAGTAATGACCTGTCCCTGTCACAGATCAAAGTGACTGTGCCAACCACATCTGCTTTCTTTTATTTTTCTATTTTTTACTTTTTTTTGTTAACTTACATCTAGAGTTTGAATGAATTTTTTTCTTCAAGGGTAAAACAAGCTATTTAACAGGATTGTAATAACAATGGGACGATGCCTTGCATGTGTCTAGGGTCCCGTTTGCACTTGCCCTTTTGGGGCTCCATAAGTGTTTTTTAGTTATAAATATTTATTTTTCTTCTTTAATCACATGTCTTCTTGTTAATTCTTTCATTACTGCAGTTTTGCCCTTATAAAGTGTCAAAGGAAAAGATGACGTTGAGAAGATCTGGAGGCCTGCAATTTTTTGTCAGGCAACAAACTCCTCCGTTGCTTGATAGCTATCCTTCACCATGTTATACAACAAGGTTCTTTGAACCAAACTTTAAAAAACATGCAGTCGTTTTCTGCAAACCTCTCCTCCTGGGAATTTCGCCAAAAAATCTGGTTTTGATGAAAGTCAAGCATTTGCTGTTTTTGGGAAAGCTCTTAGGATTGTGGCCCAGGAGTGAATGGGTTAATAGAACCAGAGTTCCATGGCCTCTGGGTGGTCACATGAAAGATTGCTTCATTGATTCAGTAAAATTCAAAAGGCTTATGAAGGTAAGGTGCACATGTACTACAGCTACATTATTATGATACAAAACCTTTGAGTGAGAATCAAAGACTGTCTGAGTCATGCAATTTAGAATCTGTGCGCAGCGCTATTCATGCCATGGCAGTAATTTTATTACTATTTGAGTGAACATGGCAATGCAATGCTCCAAGCTCAATTTTTTTAGAGTCACCTTTTAGCAACCTAAAATTATAAAATCGTCGCTATTTAAAAAAATGATAACAAATAACAAAAACATGCTTGGTGTAATATTATGTGAAAGGTTTTACCATTGACCACATTGATTGCTGGTACTTCACTTTCACATGTTTAATCTCCCAATACTTAAGTGTGTCTTAGATTACAGCCTGGTCCTCTGCAGCGATGGGAAAGAAAACTATAACTGCAAAAAGACCTTTAACAGTAGCTGATAAAAGAACTTAGTACAGCTTGGCAAATGACTGCCAAACACAGGCTGCAAAATTAACAACTTTTGCTGCAAGTTTAGTTGCCAAATTTTTTAACCCTCCATGACTACCAAAATGGTCCTAACTTGGAGCCCTGTAATTTTCATTTAATTTTAACCCTTTCTTTTTTCATAATTTTTTAGTCCTAAGTAATCCTTCCTCAAACAAGAAGTAAATAATGATGTTTATGGACAGAAAGGGACTGGATGCAGGCTGGAAGGTAAGATTGAATGGTTCAGAGACAGACATTTTGCTTCTTGTGAAAAGAAAGACTGAAATTAGCCAATTTTACT